TCTTCTTCGGGATCAAATTTATTCGATGTTTTTATCAATTAAATCTACTAATACACTACATGTGTAGTCTATTTGATAATACTGTTAACAATAAAATAACTAACAATGTAAAGTATATTTTTCTCAAATTTGAATATTTTGTTCTTGAGTTTACTTAATTAAAAACTATGAACAGAAAATGATGCATTGAAACATCATTAAGCTATTAATAATATGATTAGAACAATAAAATATTATCTTGATAGCTTATCATACATACGAAAATCAGATCTAATTAAAAGATTTTTATACTATCCTGCAGTGCCAAGAATTCTCATAGAATTGTTTCAATAGTTTTCTCTTTAAAGTCTTATTGTCATCCAATAACCATTGTGATACTTAATTTTACTTATAAATATAAATCAATAGAATAATACGAAGAATTTTCTAATGCAGCGATCTGTTTGAAGACAAGATTGGATTAAAAATTACTATTTTTCAAAAATTTTTACATGATTTATTTTTATTCAAGTCAATAAGAAAAAAAATTAAATTTCTAATGAAGAAAAATATCCATCTACATGTTTTGAAGAAACCATCCACCCTTTGGAAAATAATCTTTGTATTTTTGAACAATTGCATCGTGTTGCATCTCTTGTAAACTTCATTGTTATAGATCTCAATCGATTATAATCGACATATAAATCAGTTAGACAAGGTAAATGTGTTTTTGTTTCGAGTAGAAATTGTACAACATAATCCTTATGCACATTTGTGAGATCAAGCGTTGTAAGATGAGAATATTCAATAATAGAACAAAATGGATTTTCATCCGATTTCCATTCATCATGTTTCGACGATTGTAGCATTTCATTTGCTATAGAGAAATGTTTAAGAAAAGGAAAAGATTGACTCATTCGCATGAAGAATTCATGTTGCATTGGAATTCGATCGCAGACATACAAATGTGTTACAGTATTAAGTACAATAGTTGAAAATTGATGTGAGATCTTTTCCAAAAGAGTAAATATAAATGGAAGAGAATAAATATGACATCGGCCTGGAATAGTGCCAGAATGATCTATGATGCGACCAGTTGGTCCATATTTTATATTTTTAAATGTTTGTTGAATATCATCATACGATTTACGATGAGATAAATTACAAACTTTAATTTCTGTACTAATATAAAAGATAAATGTTTGCAGTTGAGGCATATGAACAAGAATTTCATTATGAAGAACCGTACCATCCACGAATACCGAACGCTTTTTCGTATACGAAGATACAATGTTAACTTTTCCAGATGTGTCAGGCGACGAAGAAATGGCAAAATCGAATCATCGTAATGATCAGTGATACTATAACATGTTAATGAAAAGCATTTTGGTTTATGTAATTCATTCTATAAAATACAAAAATATCTTTAGAATACATATTTATCGATTGAGATAAGATAAAATTTTTATATGAGAAACTCATAGTAAAAAAAAGAAAACTCTATTTATTCTCAACATTGAGTCATCTGTACAATATGTAATAATAATCTCTAAAATAAGTAATCAACATTTTAAATCACTCTCTCTACATTGAAAATAATAAATATTTAGAGATAAGTTAAAAAGTAAAACAAAAATAACCTTGACAATTTCACACGGTTTGAAGTTCTAAAATTGATGTAATTTTTAAATTTGCATTATTTATCTTTTAATATCGTGAATTAGAATAATTTTCATACGATTGAAAGTATTTTGATCTCTTTCGATTAATATTATCATTCATTTTCTATGAGTTTTTCAATCTAATAAATTCTATGTAAAAATAGACAACATAAACATTTCAAGTACTGTCAGGATCAGGATTGAATTTTTTTTTACTAACTAAAATCAGGGGAATTTTTTACCAACAGACTTGTCGAGTACATAAATGCACAGAATAGATGAAGTATTAGTCAATTAAAACAAAGTAGTAAATCTTCGAGAAAGAGGAAATTAGAGGTCATACATGTCGTAGAAGATATGTCTAGACTATTGGCGCTGCTAGAAAAATCACATAAATTTTTCTCTAATAAAAGCAAATCGAAAACGAAAAATTTTTCTAATCGCGGTCATTTTCAATGAATAGAAGTACATTATATTGAAGAAAAATTCTGCAGTTTTTAACTGATAAATTAAGAAGACTTACTTGTCTTCTGTACTCAAATAACAAAAACTGATTAATTTGTGTAATTGTTACAACGCAATTCAGTTATTCGATCTGTTCGTTGAATATTTTTAAACAATTGAAAAAAACACTTAAATATCTTTTCTATTGATTCTGTGGAATGATTTACAATTTCGAGTAATAGTAAAACAAGAACAACTATTTCTTTTTAGTCATTTTATAATGATCAAAACTGTAATGATCTATTGATGATTCTTGTAGTAATTATTCAATGCGTTAGCATCATGTTATTGTCAATATTATTCTGTAACTTAAAACAATAATAAAACTTCAACAACTTACTACATTGGCAGAGGTTAATAAAGAATGAACGATACAAAGAGTTTCAACATTCAATGTTGTTAATTGTTTTAGACGGCCATCAAGTAAAGAAAAACAATCATTAATATCAAACACAGTAATATATAGTACAGTCAGAGTCGAAGCAAAATATATAGTTGATTGTCGACGATACACTGATACCCTAGTCGAACCTCTTGTAAGCAAGATCTTGACCAAGATACAAGGTACAGAAATGTGAGCAGATCTTGAAAATTTAGGTACAAGATAGTCACATTATCTTGTACCGAGATCTGTAATAAGATCTTAGATACAGATCTATAAGATCTTGACTGAAATACATGTGGTCCAAAAATGATCAATGGAATCTCTAAAAACTTCTGAGATGGTCTTTTCGATGTAAAATTTGATGCTAAATCTGAATATGAAGTTAGATTTCCTCTACAGTCACGAGGGTCTAAGTTAGAGATTAATGTTTTATTCAAAAAAATGTACAACCTAATCGTCCTCATAAAGATCCTTCAAGGAAGATCGTGTTTTCTTGATTCATTTAGTACGATCTAGTTCCAAGCAAAGGAAAATTAATCTTTAGTAGATATTACTAAATCAAGATCTTAGGCCAGATTTCAAGATTTTGGGTAAGAAACATTGAATTCTCGTATCTGATTGTATCATATAAATCTGTACCCAAGATCTAATTACAGATCTTGATGCAAGATAATATAATTATCTTGTACTTAAATTCTGCCAAGATCTGTTCACTTTTCTGTACCTTGTATCTTGCTTACAAGATGTTCGACTAGGGTAATAACTCTTCTTGTTTAGCTTTGATAACTGTTTGTAGTAGTTCATGTTGTTTATCAAATGTTATTTAGTCCTAATATATATTAGATATTCCAGCTTAAATGCAGAAGTACATTTTAACTGATAATTTCTAAAAGGAAGAATGTTTCTTCAGTGTCATCGCTCACTCTTACCCTAATGCCATCTAGCGAAGCTGAAAAATTCTAATCGGAAAATATCAGTTACAATATACTTTTGCATTCATAGTAGAACATCAATTATATAAATATTCTGTCATTTTTACGATAAGTAAGAAATATGGACTGGGTATGGGTATTTTTTTTCTATTAGTTGATTATACTTTGCATGTGATTGGTTCTTGCAATCGATTCTTAAAACGTTGTTCTTTTCAATAATACAAAATTATAAAATTTCTATAGAAAATATTTCTTTGTTTTTATTTTTGGAATCTAAATGTCTACATCAACATCAATTGAACAACAGCATCAAGAATTTAAACGACAAATTTCAACTCAAGATACATATCCATGTTTTCTTCTTGATCAAACATTTCAACAACGTATATTAAGTCCAACATCAAATGTAATGCCATCATTTTTATCAACACAAACATTTTCACCATTAGGTAAGAGTCCAATACCAACATTAACAACAAATACTAGTCGATTATCAACAAAACAATCAAATCAATATCGTTTATTTCCATCAAGTCCATTAAATAGTTTAAATACAAATCGAACAAATACACGTTCAACAACACAAATTGTTGATGTACCTATCGAAAAGACCATTGTACCATTAAGAACAATGACAGATTTATTTCCTTCATTTTCTTATACAAATATGAAAATATCAAATAAAAAATCATCAAATTTTTTAATAAATACAACAAATCAAATATCAACAAGTACAACTGGTGTATCAATATTTGGTTTTCGTAATGAAGATTTAGAATTAATTATTCAACAATTTCAAGATATTGGTCAAATTGAAGAAATTCAACGACCTTTAGGTTGTGAAAATGGAAATTTTTTAAATATAATTTATACAAATCATGTTTCATATCAAAATGCTCTTAATAGAAATGGGATAATTTTTAATGGATATATGATTGGTGTTGTACCATTAATTAATAAATAATATTATGTTAATTCTATATTTATTTTTGTATGTTAATTATTCAGATATAAATAAATAAATAAATATTAATCTTGACAGATTGAACTAAGATAAAATAAATTTGAAAAATTACAAGCAATCAGTTTTTTTATTCAAGATGAATAGCTTATGGAGAGTCAAATCGGTTAAATAGTATTTCGATTAAAAATAAGAATCTCCAATAATACTTTATTAGAATTCTGTATTAATTTTGTTAAATTATATATTTATTCGTTTATACAATGTAGGGATTGAGCACTATTGATGTACGAAAGAAAAATAAGACTCTTTAAATGTTTTATAACTGTCAAGTACGATCAAAAGAATAAAGTCTATTTTGAGAGAAAGAGATTGCCAAAAGCAATAAATTTTATATGAAAAGGAAATCCTATTGAGTTCTTTGACAAACGATATTATTTGGAATAGGACATAGATTATCTGTGAGATATTCAGTCAAGCATTTGTTTTTCGTGTTGTACATCTCAAATCCATCAAAATTGAGTGTTTTAATCGAATTGTCTATGATTCATTTTCTTGTATGCTAGATCAATTATTTTAATATTACATGAAATTCCTCATCATAATGAATAGGTGTATAAAAGTTGCGGAAGAGTTTTCTTATAAAAATAACCAGACGACAGATTAAAAAAAAAGTGACAAAAATAACTTCATTCGACCATTCTGGATATTTTCCGTGAGTTCACTTATTTTATTCCATTCGATTAGACTGAACATCATTAAATTAATGAGGTTAATACTTTGACGGAAATAATTATAGTTGAGAAAAGCAAGATTTTATATCGTAAAATTGCTTATTATTATTATAGGAAATGAATGAAAATAAATTTCAAAATTTTCTTCAAATAAAAATTATGTACAAATATTAACTTCAAATTAAAATCATCTCGACCTCTATACTTCTTCTTTTAGTGATGAAGTTATAGAGTTTTTTCTGAAGGTCATAAATGGACTATATAATAAGTTGGAAGTTTGCTCTGGTTCGATGTATTCGACTGAAATTGTTGCCCGAAGCTTTCTGATTAGCGCCACTCATTCTTGAAAATTTCAATCCCAATAGACTATTCTATGTGGTAAATCTATTGTGAAGTGTCACATATTAACAAATAATAATATTTTAATTAAATGTTATTCTGTTGATTTTTTTATTTATTTTGAATAAAAGTACAAAGTAGAAATTATCATAGATGAACTATGAATAATATTATATTGAATTCTTTTAATATAAGAAATATTATTATTACATTTAAATTAAAATATTCATATTTTATTGGTTTTTTTAATGAAATGAATGTAGTAGCTACTTTAAGATATGTCACATATGAAATATGAATGTTACCGAATAAAATTATTAGGACAACAGTTAAGTCATCTTTCATCATATAGAAAATTGATGACATGAGGAAAAAGAAATAAATGATAATCATCTAATAGCATTCCGGCATTATTGTTTCCGTTTTAGTGCGATTATTATTGGAAGTATTTGTCTATGTCAGACATGGCTTTCTTCACAATTTAATTAGTAATACAAGCAATAGATATGTGAGTAGAAAAAAAAAATTTCTTAGATAATATATAATTAAAAAGTCGTTTTTAACCTCATAATTAACATAATGTTCGAATGGGTATTTTTTTTCTGAACTAATACACAAGAATAACATGTAACGAAGTAGATTTCTTGTTTTAATATATTTTTTACTTTATTAAGTCTATATATATATACTTTGCATATATCTTTCCATAAATAAATCATAAAAACTTGCATTTTTTAAAAATAGATGCACCATAAAATTCTCTATAATAGTTAAAGTCAAAGAGTCTATCAACTTGTGATAATGGATGTAGAAAAAACTAAAATAAAAGATGTAATAGGTAGGAAATAACATTCTTCTGAGTGGGATACCACTGTGATTTCAAATAGAGTACACCATATATATTGAAAACTCATAGAAAATGACAACAAAAATTATGAAGATCTTTGTATCTCGAACTCTCGAAATTTGGAATATTTTACCGATTATCAGTATAAGAAAAATTATTCATAAGATAAAGTTCGAATTCAATGTGTACGATGACTGTTAGCATTCTTTCCTGCATGAAATCGATATAGATATGAACATAGAAGAGTTTCAAATAGTTCAGTATTTGTTTTCATGTTTGTCAAAATATTTGAAATTTTGTATTTCAAGTGATTCTTCAAGATAATGTTCAGGTTCTGATAACAGTTTGTTTTCAATTTCATCTTTGATTATTATTCTAATATGTTCTGTCGTATTCAAATCGGATGAATTTCTAGGATGCATATCATTATCTCAAAGCTTAACATTGTTGTCTTGAAGGAAATGTTGGATTATATATGTTTGTATACATGATGCTTTATTATGAACAAATAGAACTTTATCAACGTCTATAATATTGTCTTCATTTTTTAAGAAAGAAAATATGTTTTGAAACCAAAATTATGTCCCGAAAGTATTGATCAGTGCAAGATTTACCTTCCTCTTTAATAGCCAAATATAATTTATTGGCAGTAAACATAATAAAAATCTTAATACATACTGAATTTTTAACCATTTCACAGTATCTTTCATCTTCTTCAATATGTTCGATACTTCTTATCCAAACTCGATCATTTTGATAATTTGGTCTGCAAACGACATATACATAAAACTCATTAAATGATGCAAAACAAAGAAAATCTACTCGTACAGCTATAATCGTTCTGAAATATGAGTTTCGGATTTTAACAGTCTTCGAATAACATGAAACAATTTCAATCTTTCTCTATGATGATAATTATTGATTATATGTATTTAATAATGAAAAATTAAATCTAATTTTGTATTACATTTAATTCGAACTTTATCTCATAAATACATTTTCTCATATCTGTAGTCAATAAAATATTACAAACTTCGAGAGTTCGACATGTACAAAAGTTTTCATAACTTTTATTGTTTAATATTTATAGATTCCATTTTTGTATAAGCTTTCATTTGATATAAAATACATTGTTTACTCTATTTGAAATTATAATAGTACGTCACTTGTAAAAAAATATTACTTCCTACCTAAAATAAGATGATATAATTGTCCGCTCATCAAAATTCATTTCCTTGCTGTATGTAAACAATAATCACATTTCGTATATTTTTAATTCTTTTTGATAATTTTCAAACATTGAAAGGATCACACGACCAGAATGACACTATTGAACAATGAGATTTTTATACAATGGACTTGATTTAGATCGGAAATTTGTATTTACTGGAATGTCTAAATAATTGTTAACATAAAAAATTATAGCGTTGTTATATGTCTTTCATTGTAATTCTCTCGAAATCTATTATTACAAGTTGAAAGAATCTTTTACTGTAATCATTTCAATGTCATACTTTAATAAAGATTCCTAAGATAATCTATAGGAAAAATAGAATTGCCTCTTTATTTTTTTTAATAATGTAGCACCACAATAGATTTTTCTGTCTGTTCAACCATTAATGCCATTATTTGATTTTCATTAAATTTTGATTGAGATTTTTCTTCAATCGTAGTTATATGTTCAATTGAATCTTTAGAATGAATTGTCATAGTTTTTAATAATGGATGTGATTCTTCTTTATCTGTTATAGTTAAACTTTGATCTAATGTTGCAGATACTTCAGTTGATGTTCGTTGATTGAAATCAATTGGTTTAATTTTAAAAAGTTTTGAATCATTTGTTATTGTTGTTGAAGAATAATTTGTTGATATACCTTGATGTAATATTTTTAATGGTAATTTATTTTGTTTTAAAGTTTGTGTATGTATATTAAATTTTTTTGAATGTTTTGAAAAAATTTTTAAAATAAATTGAATTAATGTTGATCGAAATTTTTGACCAAAAAAACAATAAAGTAAAAAATTTGTTGATGTATTAAATACAGTTAATAATATTCCAATTGAATTTAATGTATGAAATCTTAAACTTTCATATGAACCATGAGGATCAATAGCATACCAAGCATTTAATACAAGTAAAGGTAATTGACATAAAACAAAAACAATAATTATTGCAACAAGCATTAATGTTATATGATAATCAGCAGTTACTTTTCTATTTCCTTTTCCACATAAACTTAATTTTTGACGTTTCTTGGCAATTAAATTTTGTATTATAGTTATATTAATACAAGTTAATGTAACGAATGGTATGAAATACACCACAGGTATATAAACATATATTCTTGTATATTTATAAATTTTTTTACCTATATTTGTAAGACGACATTGTTGTACTTCTGGTACATACTGTTGTTCTAACCAATAAGGAATACAATAAACAATAGAAAAAATATAAATGAATAAAATAGTCGTTAATGTTACACGTTTTGTTAATATATGTTTTGCTTTTAATGGAAACTTGATTAATATAAGACGATCAGTTGATACAGCTATGGTTAAATATATAATTGATAAGAGTATTGTATTATAAATAGGAGTTGTTGGTATACGTGATAGAAGAATTTCAAAAGCAAATGGTGGTTGATTTGACATATAAAGTTTATAACCTAGTAAATATCTTATTGAATACGATGGAACAAATATAAGAAGAAAAATTATATTTGAACATGATAATGCAATTAAATAGATATTTGTTGATGTTGTACGTAACGATGGTGACATAAGTACAAGTATGGTAATAATATTTCCAACAATACCAAATATACTTAATGCCATACCAGCATATCCCCAAACGATAAGACGAAAAAGAAGTATATCACTAAGACCATAATCAATATCATGATCAGTAGAATTACTTGATATCATTTTAATTAAAAATTTTAATATATATTTTCTCTCTATCAAAATCTAGAATAGAAGAACATGATCAATCAATATTTTATAATTTATGATCAATAGAATGATGAATTTACATATGCTTTCTTTCAAAACAAAAGAAGAAAAAAAAACGGATAAGACAAACATATTTATTAAGATGAGACTCGATCGATCCTATGGGAATAACGGATGTGTAATATCCGCCTTTTGAAGAAGAGTACTATCTACGGGAAACTGTAATCGATTGGCATATTTGATCTTCAGAGCATGAGCAATGAAGAACAACACAAAGAACTTTTCCTCTTCACTATCAATAGCTTGTATTGATTGTTTACGAGTAAATCTGTCGCAATAGTTTATATATGAAAAGCATTGGGAATACAATAAATTATACAAATTAACTCGGGCGTCGCCGTTCACACTATATTTGACCATTTTTTTTTTTGTGCGATAATAAGTATAACTTAAATAAATACGCAAACTTCCGGAGTACACTCAGACAAAAGATTTTTTTTTTCTTCTTACTTAATAGAATGATTAATAATATATATTGTTGTCTACAATATATAGATGTGACGAAACGGTGATTAGCAAAACTCGAACTATATACTGAAATGTGTTAATTTGACATAAAGATCGAAGTGTTGACTGCACTGAGATAGAATAAAAGAATAAGAAAGAGTATGATCATAGCAGTGTTGATTACGAAGGGAATACTTGCCTCTATATCACGTAATGCCGTCAGCTATCTATTTGTTTGACTCTATATGATAACCATATTTCCGATGGGCAAATCTATTCATCGATCATCTTTTTTTTTTGTTCTCCTACTCAAGTGTTGTAACTATCTTTTTAAAAAACGAGAAAAATAATGACGATTTTGATGTAATAAGGTCTACTCTATATTTGCCTAACCTTCTATTTTTAGATCAATATAAAAGCATAAGGACGGATAAGAAATGCATCTATTAACGAAACTTTCAAGTAAATAGATCAGTAAAAAGAGAAAAAGAAAATATGTTCTAATGATGTTAATTGCTTTTCACAGACACGATGAACCTGAATCATATTCATAACGTCCGACATATGCTTAGTTTCCATCTAAATAGATAGACGTTTATGATAGGTATAAGATATTCTATTCAGATCGAATATATGACATTAAAAACCTACTTGACAGAACTATTTCCATTTAACGTGTGCCTATATGAACTTTCTTATTCATTATATATTAGGTGATTAACCATAGAAGACGACCAACGAGAACAGAAAAATCGTAGTGATCGACAATAAAAGTATTTTATAACGAGGAGGGAAAAAAACAAATCTAAAGAAGGTCATAGTTGTTTCCACTAAGATTCATTCATTCATTCATTCACATATTAATAATAATCGGAATATTTTTTCTCTCGGAGCTCATCTTTTTTTTCTTGCTCTTAGTCTTCCTTTTACATTGTCTACGACATCATCAAGGATAGAAAAAAATGATAAAGTGGATCCAAAAATACGATGTCAAAGAAATAAATAGAGAGGAAGACAGGCTTATTTCTTGTCTGACTAAAATTTTTTTCTTTTTTTTTTCGTAACGTGTACGTCTTCTACTTACATAAACAATATCCGTTTTTTTTCTTTTCTTCGCACAACTTTCCAATTAGAAGACAACAATGAAGAATTAATTAATAATTACTATGATATATTTTTAGTGATTTTATTTCTTTATGAACTAGAATCATTGTTGCATTATAAATTTATTTAAAAAAATTCTGATGTTGCCAATATGACGTTGTGCGTGTCATTCTCAATGGTATTTTATGATAATAAACGCTAAATATCTCATTATTATACCATTTTTTTTTCTTTTTACCTAACATTGCCATTAAGAATCATTCTTTTATATGTTTTCATAGATATGGCTCATTGACATGCAATCCTACAATGCCTTTATGCTATCTATCTTTTTTCGTATAGAGACAAGAAATAAAGAGTGATTTATGAATCAAACTGATCATAGATCATAATCAAGTAAATATAGAATTCAGCAAGACACATAAATAAAACTCAACGATAGAATAATTCTAATTATTTTTTATATATGTCTATTTTTGTCTTATAAATATAGTTATAATCATAGCAAAAAAATCAAGATAATATACCTTTAGAAAATAGAACTATATAGCAAATATAAGAACGACGTTATTCATTCATTCATTTTAAACGAAATTGTAAAAATATCAATATCAATATATAGTTAGTCTCTAATAAACTCATGTCAGAATGTGTATTATTTTTCAAGTAGACAGAAATGTGACAAAGTACTAAAGTACAAGTAGAGAAAAATAATTGATTGATTTAATTACCAATACAAATTCCATTGTTATTCATAAATGTCGAGTTGACATCGATTAAACTAATTTTTTGTTTTTTCTTTTTTGATATAGTCTTTTTTTTCGAAGATGACGTGATGAAAAAAAAATGGAAATATTTCTTATAGCATCTAAAATAACGAGAACTTGTCATATTTAAAGAAGATTAATGTTGGTTCGTTATTTTTTTTTTGTTTGACTAATCAAGCGGAATAAAATATGATCGAAAAAAAAATACAAACAAAAGATATGAGAATAAAATTATTCGAATATTTAAATGAGATGTGTCAATGAGTTTAAAATTAAGTATTTATTTAACATAATCCTTTCAAACGTTTTAATTATGCTCGAAAAATTATATCAAATTATTGAGATATATGAAAAAAATATAAATCGGATTAAAAGAATATATAATTATAAAATTTTAATCATATGCATATTGAAAAGCTTTTGAAGGCTTTGTTAGAGATTAATTTAGCTCATCCCTGGTAAATTGAAAACAAGAGATTTGATGAGAACAAAGAATATTGTAATTTTGTCATAGCGCTATTCTCTTTTATTTTTTGTTATTTTGCTACATGAAATGATTGTTACAAGACTAATATTTCATCAAATAAATCCATATGAGAATAAAAGAACACGAAACTACATTATTTGTTTACTCGTAATATAAAAGGTCATGGGAATCGTTTCTTTTTCTTGTGATTGAGATCAGAAAAAAATCATTATTTTTAACGCATAAAAAATAAATTCTTTGAGACTACAGTCCTATCATTTTTTGATTTTATTTCTTGTCGCTATAGAAAATAAAAATAAAAATGCGAAGATCTATTCTTTCAAGGTTATTAATCAACACACACATAATGTCAACATTACTATATTTCATATTTATCCTACTTTCAAAAACTAATTATTTAATAAGGATATGTGTGGGATAGAAAAAAAGAAGAATCATACATTCACACATGTTTTGATTTATCTATTGACCTTATCAAAAAACCTTTCTAGAGTATCAGTAAGATACTATACATACAAACGCATGTATTTATCGAATGATAATTGATGCCAGGTATATCATTTTGTATCTCATGAATTAAATAAAATCATTCGAACTTATAATTTAATTATGTTGTAAAAATTAAAGTTATTACGTGCATGCCTAATAAATTTTTTTTTTGTTCTTATTTAAAATAAAAGATTTTTTAATTTTGTAAGAATTGATAATGGATATATTCATTTATTTTCTATGAACTTTTTCTATTTTATAAGTGAAATAGATATGATATTTAACATTGTTAACACCAACTATACTTCAATTAACAATTCTATACAGATCTTAGAATTTAACAAACATTTCTGTATGTTTCTTTTTTTTTTTCTGAAGAATATATCGTAAAATAAAATAGAACTATTCTATAAAAGAATATATCTTTTTCTAATTTTACATTGAGAAATAAAACAATATGAAACAAACAACTTTTTTCTCCTTGAAAATCCACTCAAAAGATGTCAAGTTCTCTTCAGCGAACATTACTTGAGTGATTTGAATTGCACTAGATCGTTTGAACAAAACAAAATCTTATCTTTAGTAGATCTTAGTATTTTAAGAACTTGAGGTTAATAGTTAAATAAATTGACAAAAGACCTTTTTGGATCCTATAGAAAAGACTTTAGGCTATCTATTAGTGAAAAAATCTTTTTTATGTTTTGTAAAATAGTTTAACAATAACTGAGATATGTTAAGGTTTTTTTTTTAGAAGTGATCCGAATTACATTAATTGATAATATATTAGATCTGTAAGAAAACAAAAAAAACAATTAATTGTTAATACTAATTTTGAAATCAAATGTAAATTGGAAAACGGATATTTTTGACCTTTTAACCTTAAAGTTTAGATTATTTCAATGATGATAAGACTCTCTATGAATACTTTTCTTTGCAGTCATGCAAACTTGAGCAATTTATTCCATTAATCAAATTTGAAACTTTTTTTAAATAGCATCAGATTTTATACTTCAGAAACTATTTAGATATTCAGAAAGCAATGCATCTAATTATTCTAGATAAGGGTTCTAATTATTTAAGCCATAATCTATTCTATTTAATATATATTAAATAAGTCTATTTTACTGATTGTCCTTTATTAAGAAAAAATCTTCTTACTTTGCTTATAACACTTCATATGAATAAATACTAGACTTATGATACATAAATCAACTAAAATTTTGTAATTGAATAAGATTCTTTAATGCATTATCACTACTCAAAAATAGTCAATTTTCATCAAACTAATGAAAATTGATATAAATATATGAAAAGATAGCTCGAGGTCTAATCTTTCATATATAACATGATTTTTTATTTGGTGCATCGGTTTTTTTTTTTCGAAAAATTTTAGATGATTTCTAAAATCTCTTTTTGAACTAGGCTTTGTTACTATTATTACAAATAGCAAAGTACTTTTATAATTCGAGCACTATTTTATTTTGAGAGTTTTTCAACACATTGAACTTTTCTCCGCTTGAAAAGTAAGGATTTAAAAAAAATAAGGCCATCGTAGTTTGACATATTCTTGAGAGCAAAAAAACACAAATTAAGCTTTTCAGCGAATTTCCTGTTAAACAAATGAGCTATTTTTGATTGTTATTTGTTGAATATCTGCTCGAAAATGTCATGATCTAGGGCTGAAAATATCATGCAATTTGGAGGTACCTAATCGAAGATTGATTTTTCACAGGCTTAATTCCATTCATAGTTTGACATCATTTTTTCGATATTTTCATGAAAATGTACATGTCAATAGTTTTTTTTTATTAAAAGATCGATTAATATTTTTGAGAAAGTCTAAATTGTTTGGTTTTACATACATGGTAAGAGCCAGTCAAAAGAGCTGATGGTTCGATTAGATGCCTAAAATTTATTTATTCTTCATCGTCAGATATCTAAATTACTATATAAAATGATGTAAACTACTAGAAGATCTCATTGTGTACTAACTTTACTTTTTTCGCGACGAAACAAATGCTTTCTTTACAAGTATCTGCTTCCTTTTTTTTTCAAATCAAATGTAATCTGATAGCTATGCATATGGAACATTAATACCTAACGATAATGATAAACTAGTGTTCTCAAATTTCGAAAACAAAATGAAATCAATAGTTTGCATTCCATCAAAATTATAGATAAGAAAAATATCTAAAAAAAAACAAATTCTTGTTGATTGGAAACTAATTCTCATTTTATAAGACTGATATACTATAAAAAAAAAATATAGTCTTCATCAGTGAGGCGACTAATACAGAAACAATAAAAGTAATATTGATCTAGTAATCTGTGTCATAAATCTTTAACTTAATTGCAATAATTATAAAAATATTTCATTTCAAATATCAAGCACATGCTACGAAAGCAATGAATAAAAAAAGAATTGAACTATCCATATGAAACTAATATACAATTGATTGCCACATAATACATATCAAATCATCGTAGTCTCTTAAAAATTAACTACATAACAAAAGTTAATATAAATCATAATATATAGGAATTCTGTAGAGTAGCTTCCATTCTATCGATTAGTATAATTCAATAATGGCTTCGATCAAATGTTTTTATATGATCTTTCAAACTCATTTAAAAAAATAAAATTTTTTGGCAACTAATCCTTACTTATTTGGGTGGTGACTTCATGGAAGCTATCTTAAGCATGTTAACTAATGTTCATTTTAGAATTAAGTGGCTATGGTCATTGAGTGAATACCATTTGACTGGCTAACTTTATAGAACTTGGAGTTTGGCTATTGAAAAGAACGAACTCTTGAGATGTCTATTTGAATAACATTCGTCAGATTCGAAGACATTTTTCATGAAAACCTCATCACAAATTACATCAAATTTTTCTTTATTCACTAAAGCTCTCGATATATTAGAAGACTCGATATCTTCTATTAAGTCTCTAAAAAAAATCATATCTTTTTTAGTAGTCAATTCACTAGTTTCAATTCATTTTCACTCAATATATCGTTAGTAAACAAGTTTATTTCATTTATTCCACATGTGTAGAATGAGAGAAAGAAACAGACAATACTCCATGAAAATACACAGAAGTAATCATTGGTAAGAATACCCTAAAATCTTGATATAATGTCCAACAGTACTCTTTTTCCTAAAAAATAAAATCTGCCATTGGCAACTAAATAATTGAAAAAAAAAACAGAACAGAAATTTTTTTTTTTTTGGTTGTCAAACTTATGAAATTCGTTCACAATGAAATATGCCACTAGCATAGCTATTAGTCCTAAGCTAATTTAAATGAATATAGTTGTCTTTAAAGAAACAGTTCAAACAAAAAATAGCAGTTAGATACACATCTATTGTTTTTCTTGTGTCTGTACCGAAAAACGTCATTAAATCTTTTTGTGAAAAGAAATATATTCTCAGGCTCAGAAGTAATACTTTATAAAATAAACATCGTGATATATGTGTCAAAGTATGTTTTCTTCAATTATGAAAAAGAATTTCTTCCGGATATGCTGCAAAAGAGTACTGATGTGACTTCATGCACAGTAGGCATGATTTATTTTCTGTCAAAAAAAAAAAAGAATTTTTTTTCATAGAAATATTAGCTTCTTATCTAAATTTCGGTGAAGGAACTTTTTATTTTAAAAATTGATACATTATATTTGAGATTCGGTTAATATGAAAATAGGCAATGTGAACAAATATTAGTAACAGTGAAATTTCGAACTCGATGAGGTCAGCCGATTGAAAGTTGGTATAACAAATACTCTGAAATGAACATTCAAATAATTCAAAAACTCAATTAACTCTATTTTATAGAATATTATCTATAAATCTCATTAGTTTTGGTGTCACGTAAGTACATATAATAATAATAATAATAATTCATAGAATTACTGTTATTTTCATTACAGTGACATTTAGTTTGAATTTATTTGTTGTATATAACATTTCAAACGTTAAAGAAAAAAGAAAATTACAGAGACGAAAGATAGACATCTACATATGTTTAATATTATGAATGCTTTTTTGTTTCTCGAAAAAGATAAATAAGACATGCAAACAAACAAAAAAAAATTAGAATTGCATCCAACTTAAATCGGAATGAACATTATTATTATTATTATTTGTATTTGTAGTTGTAATTGTAGTTGCTGTTGTAGATGATGATGATGCTGATGGTGGTGGTGGAACAATTTTTGGAATAGTTGAACCTGGTGGTGGTGTTAATTTTGGAATTATTGAACCTGGTGGTGGTGGTAAAATTCCTGGAACAATAGATTCATTTGTATTTTTAATTGTTTTTTTCGTTTGTTCTTCGCCTGGTAAACTACTTTTAAGATTTATTTTAATTGTTTGTCCTTCTTTAAAACGTAAATCAAGTTTTGGTTGTTGTTGTTGTAATGGATCATTAGTTGTTTGTTTAGCTTCTTGTTCAATTTGTTTAGCTTGTTTTAAATATTTAAAATGATCTTGTAAAGCAACATTAAAATCAAATGAATCCGAACGATCATTAAAACCAATACCTAAAAATGCTTGTTGACCATTATCATTTTGTACACGTATAACAAAATAACGTGTAGAATCTTCAACATTTTCAACAGCAATTGATGGATAACTATCAATAGGACATGTTGCAAAATGTGCACCCGTATTACGATCTTCTAAACGTATTAAACATTTTTCACCTTTTGATATAATTTTTAAACGACAAATAAAATTTGGTGTATCTAATTTCCAATCAGCTGCACGATGTTTACGTGTTGCTGATTGACGTGGAGGTATCATATAAACATAAACTTCAGGTTTAACTAGACCAATTGATTCATATGAATCATCATTAAAAGAAGCCATAATTTTTTTTCTTTTTTTTAAATCTAAAACATCATGAAAACATTATAAACATCAAAATACGATAGTAATACATGAATCGATCGAGTACGTTATAGTATCAATAGGAAGAAATAACCAATAGAATTTCAAAAATGATTCATTCAGAATATTTGAATTGTCAAAAGAGGACGCTGTTTTTCATTAGTCTTACAGAAATGTTTTACTGAATGTTGATAATAAACATAATGACATAGATTTTAGATAATGAAAGATTATCATTTACAATAATGAAAAAGAACACTTTATCAATAGTTTGTGTTTAATTGTTCAGTAGTTTGACTATATAGTAAATAATTTGAAATAATCAATAATTAATTTAAAAAGGTTTAGTGTTTAATTTCTTTTTGTTTAATTTTTTGTTATTAACTTACAGCAATAAAAATAGTAGAATTACAATTAAAAGAAGAGTATAGATGTATGGGGTATCCAATGGTCTATTTTATTTGAATCTAAATTTAGAAATCCATTGACTAAATGCTTACGAATCGTATTTTTGATAGCAATCTTCCATAGATAATCCAACTGCAAAAAAAAACATAAGGCTCTCAGAAGATTTTTTTGCAGAACTCGTTGCCCTGATCATTTTGGTAAAAAAAAAATCTTCAAATTTATTCAATAAATTATAGTACTAGAGTCAAAATACTCGAAAAAATCAACTACCACTCAGCACCAGTCAGGAGTAGCCAAAGTTTTTGAGTGTTTTAATTCTTGCACGACGAGCTCTACAATATTCTGTATATGAAAAAATCTTTCTAGAACTTTATGTCTTTTACAGGTAAACTACCCGTAAAAGTATCTATCAAAAATACGATTTGCTAACATTTTGTCACTGGTAGTTTCGATGTCAAATTAAAATGGAAGTCTTTGGATATCCATTAGAGTCCATCGAATGCTACCCAGGTTCGGGTCCAGAAATTGTTGAACCCGCCGGGCTCTGATATCCATGTTGATTACTACGTCTAGCTGTATTCTCATTGTAACTTTGCTGTATATAGCTAAAAACAGGTATTATTTTATCGTAATTCTGCGAACAGTAAGACGACACCATATATATGATTACGTATTTCTACCGAATACAACTGCATATGAACCGTAGTCTCATTATGATACGACCGTATCACTAGGGGCAGAATTATTGCCAGAATATGATCTGTTTAGGTATCGTAAATTAACCATAAACGGATCAATCATGTAACCTGGATATATCTCATAGTATATAGATGTATACCAATGCTAATACTAAATTACTATGAGAAATATGTAAGGATTCTCAAAGATCTTCCACTACTTAAAAATAGAAGGTAGGTATCTATCTACTATGAGATAGACTCCATGACTACACACGGCTGAAAGCAGGCATCTCGCAGAGTACATAGTAGTTTGTTGAAACGAAGGTGTCTGGTGTTTCTGAAATTTATTTTTAAATAAAAAAGATCATAGATTCATATGGAGTGTGAGTGAGATTGAATGAAACACTCACACTCAACCAATGTGGAGAACCATTCTTGTATTTATTCCCAAAATATTTTCATCGAAAGAAAATCAAAAGACTACTGATACAAGTACTATTCATTTAACGAGTAAATAAATTTTCAAATGAGCAAACTGAATTAGTTATATAATAATTATCGAACACTAAATTTTAAACTGATAGTTTGATTTATTTGCTGATAATTGTACTGAGCATTATTAGCTATTGCAATGATTCAATCAGAAATTATATTACTTCTTCAAATTATCTAGAAATTCGTCTATGACAAGTTGATTTTTCAATATCATTTTAATAAACAGAGAACAATTAATCTTATTTTGATTAAATCTTTTCTGTATTTAATTATATGTTAGAGATTGATCAACAAGAAAAAAAAACAAATCATTACATTTCAAGTCAAACAATCATTCATATAATACAAATGATACTATTTTCTCTGTTAAATATAAATAACTTTGTTTTTTTCTTATTTATACTCTAACACAGTTCACAATAGTTTCAGCATGTGTTGTATGTGGTAACGAATCAATCGGATAGATACTAGTAGGAATAAATGGTGCACCAATTTGTTTTAATTTTGATCGTTCACCAGCTGCTAATCTAAAATAAAAGAAAAACCAATTTATATATAAACAAAATATTTTCTTTTTTTATCAAATAATTAACATACTCATAAAAATTATGCATTATTTGTCCATCGGATTTACTTGATACATAAAGAATTCGTTGAATAGATGGTAGACTACGAAGTATTGTTATCATTCTATTTGCTACAAAACAAACAAACAAACAAACAGATCAATTAAAGATTTTAGAAAGGATTAATTGTTAAAGTTTGGTTTTTCTTTTTAACTATTAGAATATGTCTGCTAATCATTCTTTATTTTTTTTTTTTTGTAATTAAATATTTATATCAAACTTACATAGACTATATCGTGATAGATTAACAATAGCTACAATACGAGAATGATCTCCATGTAAATCAGCAATTTTCTTTAATATTCGATGTAAATTTACTTCAGCAGAACCACAAATCCATTCAATATTATCTCGACATCCATTCAATTTCGCATTGAATTTTCCATCTTCAATACATAATGTTACAGGATCAATAGCATAGACTTTTTTAGCAATTGATGAAGCCAATATAGAATAAATACCTATGAATAAATTGAATCATTTAGATTATAACGAAAGTACTAGCGGAAATATTTTAATTCCTTGTAAAAATTTTAAAGAAAAATTCTTTCTATATCGTCCAATAGTAAAAAAAGCAATGCTCTAAATTTCTGTAATATTTCGTCATCTAATAAAACTTCGATAAGAGTTGTTTGTTATGCTATATGACAGTAATATTAGATCATATGAACTTGTTTCTGTATTTCTTTTTCTGTTCTACCACCACCACCACCACTTTTTTTAAGGAGATCAGAATATCGGTCCAAGAAATTTTTGGATCGAATCCAAATTCCTCTTATCAATCCTCATTAAAAGTTTCATTTCTAAGAGTACCTGGTACGCTCCATAGTGATTAGCAATGTTTAGCACATAGTTAGATCAAACTAAAGTTTTAGGACAGAATTTCAAATCGAAATTTCATTAATTAATTTTTCCATAAATACCTAAAGCTAGGTCAAAAATTCAGTAAAACGATGAGACAAATTTGAATCCTGACTGAAAGTCATGTAACCCCTTTTTCTATACTCTAATATGTATACATGGCTAGACATTAGAGAAGATGAGAAAAAAGAGAACATCAAGAAGAGGATACACATAGAAGACAAAATATGCCCAAATAATACCATCACATATCATAACAAACAGCTCTTATCGAAATAATGATTAAATATCACAAAAATATCGAGCATTATTTTTACTATCAGATCATATAAAAAGAAAGTTTCTTTGAACTTTTTATAAGCAGTTCAAATATTTCCATTACTATACTTTAAATATATTTCTTACCAATGGCTGATCCAATATCTAATACTATTGTATTTTCATCTATTTGAGCATGTTCTAATATAGATGTATAAACTAATTCTGCAGCTTTTTTATTTACATGTAAAAGTGATTCAGGTGAAATACGAAATTTTTTTTCATTATATATTTCATAAATAAATTCATTTCCATAAATTAATTCAAATGGATCTTCTTCACTTGTACAACGATTTTGAGCACTAAATATAAACAAAAAAAAAACTTGAAAATAATAATAATAATAAAATAAAAAACAAATTATATACCATGTTTGAAAATAAATTGAATTAATTTCACATTCACGACCTGATCCATCGATAAAATAATTCAATAGATCTTTTTTCATTTGATCAATTTCATTCTAATTTAAAATAAAAAAATTCATAAGTAACAAAAATAAAAATAAAAATTTTCGAAATACCTTACTGAATGATTGAGGATGAACAATAACGTTCATCATCAAATCATTTTGTTCATTTGATTTTAATGTTATTGAACGCCAATATTGATCTTTTTTAAATATATTTGTATTTTCACATATAGATAATGGATGTTGTTTAAGAAATTGATCAAAATGCTTGAAAAATAAATATTTCAACTTTTTATTACAAACTAATAGGAAAAACAAAATCATCTTACTTTCAGTGTCAGGATATGTTTTGATTTCATACTTTTTAAATGCATAGGTGGTATACATAAAGTATTAGGAAAATCTATAAGAAAGTCAATATGAGATTAATTTAAAATAAAAATAAAAATGAAAAAAAAAAACAATTACTTTTACTATTTCTTGGATTAATATAAAATCCAATTGTTTTTTGACCATCAACTCCATAACCACATGATAAATCATCTTTACATCGATAATGATCAATGATAGGCTATTTTAAAAAGAAAAATATTTGTTTAATATCAACAAAAATAAAAATAATCTTACCGATGGAATAATTGATTCGACATGACAAAATTTTCCTTGTTGAAATTCGACATATTTCAAAACTTGACTATCAACTCGTTTATCCCATAGAATAGCACGACCGATTTGATCAAATACTTGCTCAATTATATCTTGTTTAATCTATAATAAGTAATTATTGAAAATAAATTATAGAATATTTTATGAATTTACTTGTAATTGCTCATCATATGAATGATTTGATAATGGTAATATTAAATTAGATAATCTAGAGAAACACAAAAAAAAACAACTAAGAATGAGTTACAAATTTGATAGAAATTCATTTTTTTACTTTTCATGTTGATTTTCTAGTGTCAAATCTTCAGCGTATGGTTTCAATGTATGTTCAAAATTAATAGCATCAAATTTAGGTTTTAGATTTTGTTTTCTAGATAAAGAATAAATAGATAATTGAATATAGAGAAAAATTTCATTCGACTTACGGATAAGTTTCCGTAGATTTTCGTGTAGATGTTTGATATTGTAATGCTCGAGAAATATTAAATAAAATATAACTGGGAGTTAGAGAGCGTTGTGTTAAGAATTTAGTAAGAAACATTAGTTCAATGTGAAATTTCAATTTTTAAAATAAATGAAAAAATCGATAGACAGTTGTTGTCATTAAAATATAAGATGGAAATGGACCTGAACAAATCGATATTTAGTTCATCTATAGATGTCTCTTGATATTGGATTTTAATTGTACTTTAAAACATCATTTATTGATAAGCAATATATGACCAATTTATATTAAAATTGAAAACGATATTATAAAATATTGATCATTACTATTTCATAGTCATTTGTTTAATAGGTTGGCTATGATTTCGAACGTTCTGTAAAACGGGATTGAATGAATATCAATATAATGCTTGCTTTTCATAATAGTAAACAATGACTTATGTATTCTATATTAAGGATACTCGCCTCTCTTTGGGCACTTCTGGCTCTCGAAGAGAACCAGAAGTGTTTTCAAAAGAGGGCGGGTACTCCTAATGCAATTTCATTTTATCTTTTTGCTGAGAAGCTTTTTCATTAAAGATTGAAAATGTGAATGTCTCTCGAATATTTTATTGACATATGTATAAATAGAATAATAATCCAAATGAACTTTTCGAAAAAACGAATAAATAATAGATTTTCCATGGCAATAAAAAAAAAAAAGATCAGAGACATGAATATATCAACTGTATCTATCTACTAAAATATCATAAAATAATGGAAACAAAAAAAGAAAAAGAAAGAAAAAAGAAAATATAAGCTTTTCTGTAATAAAATATGGTTCAAAAGCGCAGTTAACAAACTATACACAAACACACACACACACAAGTGAGAACGTCGTATTAAATATCAGCAAGAAAAACTTTGAGCACAAGAAAAAGACAAGACGAAAAAACTCACCAGTAGCGGTGTCAAAAATAAATACATACTTATGCACATATATGATTTAACCACAATAAAATATAAAAAGGCGAAGAACAACAAAAAAAAAAGAATAATTTCTTTTGATTACAAGTAAATGTTAAAACATACAGGTGGTGAATTCAGAAAAAAAGACAACAAATCACCTCGTCCTAATGTATGTGAATAAATAAGCATTGAATAGCAACAATAATATTCAGTAAAAAAATTATAGATGAAATATTGAAGACAATAAAACTGACACAATTTAAATGAATGTCGAAAGAAGTTTTAGATAAACTTCTTTCAAAGTTGTAGTAAGACAAAATGAAAAACTATTTTGGATAATGTGTCAAAACGAGGATCGAAACAAATATTAAAAAGGTGTCATGGACGGTGTAAAAGGTGTTGGCTGAGTATATCCTCCGGCTACAAATAAGAAAAATAGAAAGATCATTTTTTTTTGTAACATTAATAATCATGTAACGTACGTCGAAATTCGGGATTGAGTATAATTATTTTAAAATTACGTCGACCACGCACTTGAGCAACAAGTTGAATAGCATCGAAAAGACGAGGCATTGTCGGAAAACCATAATCTGTTGGATAAAGTAAATGAGTTGAACCAGTTCGACGTTGATATTCAACAATAAAATCATCATAAGCCATACGACCATCACATGGACTAAGAAGTAGTACTACATTGTAAGCAAAACACATTGGTGGAGTTAAACGAACTGTTTGATCAATCACCTATTACAATAAAAGTAAAAACATGATAGAAGAAGAAGAAGAAAAATATGAACAAACTTCGACATAGTCTCGTAATTCATTGCGACACATATTCAAAGTAACATCTTGTTTAAAACGAACAAGCATATCTTGTTTTAACTGCCAAAATGATAATTGACATTGAGATAACATTAGTGTGAGAACAACATTTTTAGCTAATTGCATCGTTGTTGAATTTGGTTCTTTAATTGCAAGTATAAAATCAGTTTCAGTATAATGAAACTAAAAAACAATATTCATTGAAAACAATATCATTATGTTTGGTTTACTTTTTACGTACGTCAAGTTTGTCAGTCATTGTAAGAAGTAATGCTTCAATACTAGCTACACCAAAATCTTCTGGATTTAATTCATTTCGATAAACTTGTAAATATTGTGCTTGAAGATCTTGTAATCTAAGTGGTCCATGAGATTTTCGAACTAATTGTTCAATATTTAATAAAATTGCATGTGCCATCATACTTGGTGTTAATTGAACAATTTTTTCACCATTTTTATCTTCATTGATCTATTTAAATATAATAAAAATGTTTTTTCTGTTTCAAAAAAAAAAGTTATTTAAAATTTATACTTTTACAACATGAGAAAGTTCTTCAAGTAAATCAATTAAACGAGAAAATCCATATGTTTGTACTTTACATTGATAACCAAAATGATGACTAAATATAAATATTCAAAGATGTACAAGGAGAAAAATCTTCTTTTTCTTTTCTCTTTCTTACTGATAAGATGGAATAAATTTTTGAAATGGTATACTGAAATCAGGTAAAATACGAAGCATATCAATAACATCTTTTTCAAAATTACGTGTTGCATAAATTTCGAGATCAGTTCGTTCTAAATTTAAAAATAATTTCAAAAATTTTTAATATTAAAAATGATTTACCTTTACGATAAAGTTTAATAATATCCTTATCAGCTTCGACAACTAATTCTTTGTTATCTTTAACTTCATTTACAAGATCTTCCAAATAGCACATACCAAAATCAGCAACACAAAAAGGTCTTTTGTAAGCAATTTCTGAAAAAGGGAAAAACAAAACAAATTAGTTTATTAAAATCTATTTCATTCTCTTAATTCTTCATACCATATTCAATAGGAATTTCACTAATTGACATTGATCGTTGTGGTTTATTTTTTAAAATACGAATTATATCATTAGTAAATCGTTTCATTTGACAACGATGTGTAATTGTCATAATACGCTTATTTCCATCACCAAGAATCTATTTCAAAATAAACGATATATATGTTATACTCTTTTTTTTTTAATTATTTATTCTTACTTGAACAGATTTCGGAATAGCAAGTAAAAGATCAATAATTTTCGAAAAACCATAATCAGCTACACGACATTGTCGACTAAAATATTGATGATAAGCAGAAACAAATTTTGATACAGGTAAACGACAATGAAATCCTTGATTTTTAAGTAAATCAAGAACTTCACGTGAAAATTGTTGTAAACGTTGTTGAACTTCAGCACACATATCCACGTGCACTTTAATAGGAAACGAAAAAATTAAATTCATAAAATAAAAAAACAAACATCAAATAAATCATACAACTTACTATTAGAAGTATCAAATGGTGTTGGCATAAACGGTACACCTGGTGTATTAGGAAATTGTACTTTTTTAATTACTCCTTGTCCAGTTACAATTTGAATATCTTTGATACCTAAAGAGAGACATCAATAGAATTTCATAAAAATCATAGAAGAAAAAAAAAGTAAATTTACATGAAATATAATGTTCAAGTGGAACACCTTCATTGTGATCATATAAAGGTTCAAAACTATAATTATAACATTGAGGAAAACTAAAAGAAATAAAAATAAACATAAAAATGAAATAAAACAAAGCTGTTAGCGCAATTTCTATAGGATTAAAATGTGAAACACGATGTAGTTGCTGTTGATAATCACAGGAAGATTGCTTCACTCTATCTATTTCGGAATACATTTCTTCACTATCCTTTTGCTTAGTTCTCCATAAATGCAATAAGGAAGTACAACTTCATATGTTAGAACGAGATGTTATTGATATACGGTCTTTGATTGTATATCAACAATGTCTATCATGGTCTGTGATGCTCTCTATTGAACATTTTTGGGGTCTGAATCCAGTCGAATCATACTTTGATGTTCTCAATAAAATTTTCTAATCCAAATTGGATAGTTATCCGAAGATATGCGATACTTTTTTTTCGATTTTTTGTATTCGGTGACTAGGGCATTCTACACATTTTTCAGATGACTAGAGCCCATCGGGTCCATATTTTTTGGATCCGAGCGGTTCCGGAACTAACCTGGCAGGCTTTATCAGTGTCGGTCACGTAGAGTTCAGTGGTTCCAAAAAAACTGGAACAGAGAGCCGAACCGGAACCGTTAAATCCTTGGATACATACAAAAAATCCTAAAACTATGTTGAGAAACTGTCACTTTTTTCATTCTTGACATTAAAGATTTCAGTATATATGAATAATATTGTTTTTTTTGGCCGTTTTAATCTCAACAATTCAATAGCGACAATTTCTCAAAATAGATTTAAAATTTTCGTATGTATTTGATGATTTAATGGTTTCAATTCCAAGTGATATGTTAGGAGTCAGAGTCGGAGCTACGGTTTCGATTCCGAAGAATACTTTTTAGATCGTGTTTCACAGAAAATTAAATAGATACCTAGCTAAAGGCATTGAACCATTATGTTGAGTTAATAATTGACGAATATTATCAGCAAATGAACTGAATGGAATTTGAACAAAAGGTAAATCAAGATCGGGATTAACAATAAAATTTTTTGGACAATGTATTATACAATAAGGTTGTTCCAAATGAGCCTAATAAAATGAAAATAATGATCAATTGAAAATAAGTTTGAAAAATCATATAATAATTTACTTGAATATTATTTTCGTCAAAACGTAGACGAAATGCAGGTAATAGACGAGCAACTCGATTGCCTCCATAATCTTGAATATCAATGACATGTTTCATTGTATATAATTCACTTACATGAAGTGGTTTTTGAAATCTAGAAAGAATCAAAAATTTTCTTTTTTAATATCTTATATTTTAATTAAAAAAAAAAAACAAACAAACCGGCTTTGATATTCTTGAATAAGTGTAACAAGTACACAAGTACAATCTGGATGTTCTTTAAGTAGCAATGCAATTTCCAAAGCTCGTCTAAATAAATTAATAATTATCGAATAAGAATATAATTATCACGATAATCATAACATACTCAGCTGAATCGACTGTTGAACCAGTTGGAGGAAGTGGTGCTGGAGGTGTTTCATATAAAGATGAAGACGTAAATGCAGGTGCAATACGTGATCGTTTAATAGATGATGGTACTCGACTGTACAAATCAGGTGTTAATGACCGTATTGGTGTTGAAAATTCGAGTTTAGTTGTTGGTTGATTGCCAGCGAATGATCGACCGACTAATTACAAAGAGAGTAAAAACCAAAAAAGAACTTCTAAAAACCAATCTACAATCTTCTTTTACTAGTTGTTCGATTGCTAACATCAGAAAATGGTCGTTTTGTAGCACAATTTGTAGGTGATTGTGGTCCAAGTTCACTCATTACCGAACGAGGTGTATAAATAGGTGGTTCATGCATCGATGAAATATTCCATTGAGATGGACTTGACATCCACCAAGTAGGTGTGGTGGGTTGCATGAAGCCAGAATCGATAGAATTATTATCACCAAGTAAACTTAATACTGTTTGTTTATCAAAATCTGGTCCAAGACACCAAAGCACACTAGGATCCATTTCAGCAGCGGCACTTTTTGGTGTTTGCTGCTGCTGTAGAAAATCATATGACCTATTACAAAAAAAATAAAAAAATCTTTTTGAAAATTTTGAATTAATAAACGAACATCGAAAATGACATTGTTAGGTATGTGTTGTTGTGAACAGATAGAAAACAAGTCGACGTCGAACACTGTATACGTGTATATGTGTTAACGACACATGTACTGCTGTATTCTTATAAAGATATATGTCTTTATATAACATGCGCTGGACGATAATATAAAAGGAAGAGAACAATCGAGAAAATAACTGATGAACGATCATTCATGATTTTCTTTTTTTGTTCGTTCGAATAATGGTGCCTCGAAGTAATCTCGCATATATATATATATATAATATGAAAACATGTATTGTAGTTATCGTACATTGTATTATAAACTTTATAGTCGAAAGAATAAGAGAGAGAGAGAGAGAGAATGTCCTTTACCGCCAACGCAAATATCTTGTATTACAATTACCATTCTCAGAAGAAGAAAAAAACGAAAAGATAGACACATTACGATCAAAATATTATTTTTCTAGCTTTATCAAAAATCGAAAAAACAAAACACACAAATTTTTTGTTTAATGTCTAATATAAGATAATAAATAGAATCACACATAATTTTGATAATAAGTCGGACTTTCAAAACCACCATCACTTGGTGAATCAGCATCAGTTGAATTATTTAATTGTCGGGAACATATTTCTTGTCGTTTTTTACTTAGTTTACGTTCTTTTGCACGACGATTTTGAAACCAAATTTTAATCTATTCATTAAAAAAAAAATCAAAATCAAAAAATAATACTAACAATATATTTTTTTCTTACTTGTCGTTCACTTAATGCTAACGCTGATGATAAAGCTGCTTTACGTGGTATTGATATATATTTTGATAGAGTAAATTCATTTTCAAGTTCATATCGTTGACGATCAGTATAAACAATACGATATTTATCACGTGTACGCGTTTTTCCTAGAGTAACGAATAATAATTAGTTTTTCTTTTTTTTTTGTTTCATATTGACTGTTATAAAATTTTATAACATTCGACCTAATAAAATTTTTTACTTATGTTGACTTCAGGTATAAAAACTGTATGCATACATATCAATATACAACACAATTAAATTTCTTTTTTAGAGGTAAAGAAGGAAATTTTCGTGAAGTGATAAAAAAAAAACTTTTCAGAGCAGACTTGTTCTATTAGATAGAGTCTATTGAGAGTAAAATGATTTGTTCTCTTATTGCTTTAATTTTACTGAATTTCTAACCTAGTAGTGCAGAACATATTATCACAAATCAAATGTCATCATTTCGATCGTAAACGTATCTTATGATTTTCTATTCTTCTTAAGATATCAGATTTTTAACCAATGCGCATATTTTAGTAAATATTCGAAAAAAATCTAGTCTATCTGTAAATCTGTTATCATAGGGAAAAAAACCTGTTCGTTCGAGATGAAATTTTCGGTATAAAGATGTATTAATTTCAGATCGAACTGATGCCATTAGATTTTTAATGATATATCTTTTCACTAAGTCAGAAACTCAGTAAAAATTAAAGCAATAAGAGAATAAACTATTTTACTCTCAGTAGTCTCTACTTAATGATAAAAGTCTTATCTCAAAAATATTTTTATTACTTCAAGACATCCCGTGGTAAGTTAATTGATGTTCGTTTGAGCATCGTTTTTTTTTCGAAAAAAAAAATTTACTTGATATCCTTATGTGACATTTCTTTTCTATTTAGAATGCTTCTTTACCCCACTCGAGTGATGAGTTCACGATTATTCTTATCAATGTATGTGTATCAACAATTGAAAGTCATAAAAAAAAAGAAATGTACACGTACTACGGTACCATTTTATGACATTCGGCACTCTTTTCTTTGTTAGAAAAAAATCAATCAAAATAAATTGAATGATTGTTAGTTCTCTCATATTTCTTAAATTGTTTACATTCAACACCGAATACTCTGATCAGTGTATAACACCAATGTGGAAGCGCGTGTTTGAGTAATATTCAATTCAATGCCCTTTTTACTTCTTGTTTGATATTTTCTTTTTTTTAAAGGTCAATTGAAAAATAATGATATATACCGTTTGCTGGATTTTTTGGTGGTGTTGGAGTTAATTGTGATTTAAACCAATTTGATTGTTGTTGTTGTTGTTCTTGACATTTTGAATATGATGATTCTTCTTTACTATCGCATAATGATTGTTCAATATTATGTGATGATTCAAAATATGATGATGGACTATATGAAGATTCAAATTTAATTGGTACAAGTGATGATGATGATGATGATGCTGGTGTTGTCCATTGTGGTTGATCATAGAAATTATTATTTGTATATGTATAATGACGATAATTATTTGGTGATTGATATTCTGTTGATGTAAGCCAATTTGATGAATCATTTGATGATGATGGTGGTGGTGGTGGTGGTGGTGGTACAGGATAAAGATGTTGATGAATATGATGATGATGATGTGTAGCTGATATTGTTGCTGTTGAATTTATTTGTGATAAATGTACAGTTGATCCAGGTACAAGTGTTTCAATAGTTTGATTTGTTGATGGTGATATTTGAATTTGATCAATAATTTGATTGGTTGTTGTTGATGGTATTGTTAATATATTATGTGTTGTTGGTGTACCTGGCCAATAATTATAATCAAATGCTTCTAATTTTGATGCTGTTGTATAATCAGTATAAGGTGAATAATTATTATAAGATGTTTCATATAGACGAGGATTTGATTCATGATCAACAGATATTATTGATGGATAGTTTGTATTCATTGTCTAAACTAAACTATGTGAAATATAGAATTTTTTTTTTCGAAGATTTAATTGTGTCGTGTATGTGTGTGTATGTGTGTTTTTTTCGTCATGCTTGATTGACAGAAATGTCTTTTGGGGATAGTTCGTATAGAAAAACCAATTCGATTTACCTGTTTGATGATTATAGGTGTTAATAATGACGTAATAAATTATAAGTGATGATTTCACGGATAATCAAATTTTGTGTGTTTTTTGTTATTGTAGTAATAAAATTAGAACTTTTCGATATTGCTTTAATCATATGGTGTACAATCATAAAAACATCTCGGAATTATTTTCTTCAATTGAGAGAGAGAGAGAGATGATGATGATGATACGTAGTATATATTGAGAGAAGTAAATGTGTATACACAACACTGCACTTTTTTTTTTTATGATTCAATGTCTATGTCGAATAACACACTATTTCTCTTGACGATAAATCGATAAGAGAGAGAGAGAGAGTAAAAAAGACAAGTATGGATTTTTTATTGGTGGAGAAAAAAGAAATAATATCATTGGTGTATAGAGAAGCAGGGAAAAAAAATAATATTGATTTGCAGGGTAAAAATCTGACAACTTTAAAAGAACAACAGAAAAAAGACCAGATGAAATACGAAGCGGAAGGAAAGACTTTTGAGTTCGAATCAAAGAAGAATGTGATATAATATCAAATAAAAAGATGTCCGAAGTTCTCCTCTTTGAATTTCTGAAAACTGCAAGTCATTAACTGTTCCTATTATCGAGTTATGTCAGCGGCGGATCTAGGATTTTTTTGATAAGGGGTGATTCAATAGACATGGGGCGATTTTGATCAAAAAGCAAGTTTTGAAGTTTATTAGTAGTAGAATGCACTCTATTTTTAAGACTTTTCTGCTGAGAAAATCCAAAAATTTTTGTTTCGAATGGGGGCGATCGCCCCAAGCGCCCCCCCAAATCCGCCACTGAGTTATGTAGCTCACACCCACCTTTCTTTAATTATGGCGTCGATATTAGTTGAAAACTTTTTTGTATTACTTTCCTATTAATACAACAAATGTTTCTCAGCTTCTAAATAAATATTGTAAGCAAAAATTTTCTCTGTAAAATTTGAATTCAATGAAAAGCTTTAATAAGCAAATATCTTTTATTTTACAGAATCAAATAACATTAGAGAAAGAGAGAAATATTATCTATTTTTTGTTTTCAAGTGGTCTTATATTGATTAATTCCGTTGGATGTTCAATCACGGTATACTCGAAAAGATAAGGATTCTTTCATGCAACTGAATTGCATCGTCATTTTTTTTTTCTACTTACCTTCTGTTAGATTATTATTCGTATTATGCTATCTTTTTCAAATCAAAGGCTAATAAAAATCAATCTGTGTGAAAGAAAAGAATGAAGTTATGAGAATTGTCTGATGATCTTATTAGAACACAAACATATTTTAGTCTATATGCCATTTGTATAAAATATAATCACGTTCATTTATCAATCTATCTTATTGATAGTTTAAACTTATTGTCACTTGTATGAAAAGAAGATTTTGACTTCTCCACCCCTACGTTTTCTTCACACTTATGTGTAACCAATCATATGAATTTATTTTAGTGTTCATACTAATTGATTCGATGACCTGTTCATATCGTCTTGTCTCAATTGACACAATGGAAAAAGTCAAACTGAGCATAAAATTGATACCATTCATAGACATTTTATTCAATTGAGTTAAAATAAATATATAGACTTGTCTTTTTTCTAATTTGAGAAAATGATATAGGACAAAAAAAGAAAACTTTATTCTCTGGTACAATGAACAATAATAACTATACAAAGATAAAATGAAAAAAAAACAGACATGGTACTATCACATATAGGAAAACAAATTGTAAATCATGGAGATTTTATGCATATGGACTTATGAAATAAAATAAATACCAATAGCGAAGCGTGCTAAACAAACTACAACATATGAATGTATTCAGGTAGCACCTCTCTCTTCTATGAAATAATGAAATCTTTAACCAAACATCTCCTATCCTTTCATTAAAACTTCACATAAAACACAAATCATCTAAATAATAAAAAAATGACAATGGTTCATGCAGCAAAAAAAAAGCTAGCAGCAAGCAATAAAAAAACAAGCCATGCAAACTAGCTAATTTTATTACTATATATTTTGTTTTTGTTAATTTAAATATTCGGTTTGTTTTTTCATTTTTGTATAGTATTATTTTTAAAAAGATTACGAAAAAATGTTGTAGCCTGTAATTTCGAGTTTTTTAACTGTAAAAGAAGTTCGTCGATTGTGTCTGAATAATAGAGACAAATAATTAAAAGAAAAAAACAAACAATAATTAACGTAGAACAAGTTTTGAAAGAGGATTGCTTAATGAATATAATAGAGATTCGGACATTCTTGTGGATGATGTTTTAATCGTACCTGTCTCAGATGATGATGATGATGATGATGGTGGTGGTGGAAGAGGATGATAAACAGAAGCTAAATGTTCAAGTTGTTCATCAGTTAGAACATGAAGAGAACCTGTTCTATCATCTTCATCATCAGTTATTTGTGATGAATAATCATCACTTATTTTTCTTTGATGAGTATGATGAAACATGTTTTTTGATTCTGTATCTGAATTAATAATAACAATTTGTGGTGGTTGTTGTGAAGAAAGAATAAATTGATCATTAAAATTTGTTGGTGTTATTTCATCATTTTCAGGTGACGTACGACCACTTGTATTAGCAAATATTCCAGCTGGTAATACTTCTGTACGAAGTAAACATGAACGAAGTAATTGTTCAGGACGATTTAATCGTTTTGTTGAATAAATTTTAGGTGATGATGATGGACTTGATGTAATCATTGATGATGGTAATTTGTTCTTAAAAAAAAAAGAAACGTGTCAGCACAGCTATATTTTTTGTTTGTCTTGTTGTTATTCGTTCGTTATTTTTCATTTTTTCTTGAAACTCTTCTCTCTCAAAAATTGATCTTATGTTAGATACATTTAAATCGCATGACATTTTCCGAATATATTGAAACTATAGTGATGAAGCTATGATAAAATTTTCAGTTCTATACCATAACATTTTCGGGAGATATTCAATAAGCAAGGGTCATAAATAGATCATTTGGGACTATGAACTTTCATTCTATATGTTTAATTTTTGTTTGAAAGAGCCCTGTTTTTACTTTTTAAGGCGAGAAAAGCACAGTGTCGCAAAAAAACCAGTATTCTATCCAGATTTTCTCTTTCGAAGACCCGATTTAAAATCCTGGGAGGGCCAATTCGATATTCGAAGAAGTGTCGACTCTCAGCTCCTGTGCTAGATAAAACTCTGGCTAAAAGCTCTCCGAAAATGGCTCTTTAATTATGAAAATACTCTTTTATATAATAATAACAAATCTTAATTCAAAAAAAAAGGGTGTGGGTGTGGGTGTGGGGTGTGGGTGTGAGGATGTGGGGTGTGGGCATGAGTGTTGTTCTTTCACCCACACCTAAATAGTTCGAAAATCAGTTTTTCTGATGTTCTTAAGGGAGATCACGGCCTCCTATTGAAAAATACAATATGCCAGCAGTAATAAGCTATGGAACATAACTCTTTTTTGCAGGATATTTATAACTGATTAGGGTCTACATAATACACATAGTTTCAGCTTGAAAGTGATGGATCAGATGGGGAACTTTCTTCGTAAGTCTTTTTCCGTTGCTAAGGAACTTGATGTTGAGTTCCACAAAATCAAGAAAAAAAAAGCGAACTTCATACAAATTCTGTATAAGTTACTTGTTCTTCACCGGCACCATCTATTCGTTCATTAGGTTCAAGTGGTAATTTTCCTTGGTTTCGTTGTGCATGAATTTCATTACTTATTTTTTCAAGATTACGTAATGATTCTTGATATTGTGCTTTAGCTTCATTAACACAATTTTCAAGACCATAAACTTTACGTTTTTGAAACTAAAATAAAAAAAAAAATATTATTCACACGAAAAAAATTCAATTTTATATTCATACATCTAATTCTTTATGATATTCAGCTTTTTTTTCATAATAAGGTCTTTAAAAAAAAAATAAACATTTATTTATTATAAAATTTAAATAAAATATTATATTTTACTGTGATTTATTAATTGCACGTCGATAATTTTTTTGTAATTTTTCAACTGATTTTTCTACTTCAGAATAAGCTTGTTCAGCACGTTGCTGATCTGAATCAGCTGCATATTTTTCTCGTTCAGCATCAGCTGCCTTTAAATCAACAAATTTTTTTTTCCAAAAAAAACTATTTCAATAAAATTATCTTAACAAACTTTTGCAAGAGCATGACCATATGTTTCACTCCATTTTTCTGGATTTTGATTTGATTTTTCAGCTTCATCAATATAATCAGCCTAAAGTATTTCAATGAATATTAAATTTAAAAAAAAACAAACGAAATAAAATTTATTTACCGAAGCTACAGCTAATTCTTTAGCAGCAACATGTAAAGTTTGTGCACGTTCAAATCGATGTTTTGCTTTAGTTAATGCTTCTTTTTTATGTCGTAATTGAATTCGAGCTTCATAATAACTTCGTGCTTTATTTACAGCTGAACCAATATTTTTTTCTAATTGAATTAATTCTTCTTCAGTTGTATCACAAAATTCTTTGAGATTTTTTCGTGCTTCCTAGAAATAATAAATGAAAACTAAGAAAAAAACAAACGAAAGAATTTATTTACATCAAGTTGTAATTCTAAATGATTAATTGCTTCATTTGCATGATTTAATCGTTCTAATTCAATCTATATTAAATAAAAGATGAACAAAAAAAAAGAGAATGAATGATAGAATTAAAAGGTGACAAACTTGAACTCGAGGGTCCACTCCATCATCATCTTCAGATGGTACACTCGATTCAACGGTTGATTTTTTTTCAGTATCTGGCAAATTAGCCATTCATAATCTGAAAACAAAAATTATCACAGTATTATTTCATCTTTACAAAAACAACGGATTAAGAATTTATCATCCTAATAAGATTATTCATTTGTTCATCAAAATTATCCGAATCATTATTCGAAAATACAAAAGACCACTCAACATTTTTATCAAGTTGACATTCAGATTCTGAATCATCAATATTTGATGTAAAAATCCAACCACGTTTTTTACGTGTATCAATCGATGCTTCAATACGAACAAGTAATAAACAATTCGAAAAATATTTTTGAAAAAAATCAATATCTGTATAACGTCGAATATCACATATAATCCATATTGGATTTGTCAAACATAAATCATGTTTTTGTTCAATAGCCATACGACAAAAAATTGATGGATCTTCATTTCGTTTGTCTTCACCCCATCTATAATATAATAATAAAATGAAAAATTCTCTTAACAAAGAAACAAAAAAAAAGATTTATATACTTAATCATATCTTTTCGATAATTTTCTTTGTAAGAAGATGAATTTAATAATTGTTCACCATTGATTTGATTTAAACGAGCAAATTCTAATTTTAATGGTTCACTTAAATGTAAAAGTACAACTGGAAGTTTTTCAACTAATTTTTCACCAATATAATCTTTTCCACATTTACGTTTACCGGAAAGAAGAATAACTTTTTTTATATTAGAATATTTCGATTTATCAAATGATGAATTCATTATAATGAATCTAAAATTATTTAATCAAACATATTTGTAAAAAAAGAGAAAACTTTTCTTAATTAATAAATCCATTCATAACTTATTTTTGTTCTTTTTCTTGAAATTCAAAAGTTTTTCGAATTTTTGTTTTTAGTTTATTGAGTATCGTTGGATAGAAAACATCGAGTTATATATGAAAAACTATTTTTCGTGAAAATATTATACGTATATAAATATTTTATTTTCATTTTGTAGAACGTTATAAGGTGTATTCCCTGATTCTGAAGACAAAATTAACCAAAAAAAAGCCTTACATAAATAAAGTTTTTTGGTCAAATTTTGGCTGCAGAACGATGAAATAGCCCTTATAAGTGAAATAAAATATTTAGAATTTATTTTTTTTCCAATATCGGAAAAGTAGTTTTTCGTATTTAACTCAATCTATTGTATGGAACGATACTAAATAAATTGAAAATAAATATTTGTTAAAATTTTGGATTTCCAGCATCTTACGTACGATATAAGTTCAATAATTGACCTACTATGATATTCTCAATAAAGATTTCTATCAAATAATTTCCTCATTTGTTTACAACAATAGAAATCGATATTACTAGAATCAGTTAACTAAAGAATTTGAATAAAGATATTTTCTCTTTCACTTAAAGTTCTAAGCAGGAAATAAACATTAAGGATACTACCCTCTTTCCAGAATTTCTAGAGAACGGCTTCTCAGAAAAATTTGAAATTTTCAGGACAGATAGATCTCGACAATTAGAGCAAAAGTTGTCGTAGAATCAAAGTTTCTGAATATTGTCTTCTACGAGATACTGGGATCACAATGGCCTCAATTTTCGTCCGAGATGTTATGCTCGATCAAACTGAAAATTTTTTTATAAACACTAGACACTGTTCGAGATCGGTATCTTTTTGTTCTTCGAATAAAAAAGCCGAGATATTGAAGGTACCCTAAAATAAACATGATTTTTTTGTAAGAGCTACCAAAAATCAGTAGAACAATATTTTTCTATCCATTCCAAACAGTCTATAATGTATATGAAAAATGTTTCAGCTTCATCGAACATACTCGACCGGAGAAACAGGAGGCGTTTCTGCACTTTTTTCATGAAAAAAGCACGGAAGTAATCTTAACAAAATTTATTTTAGTATTTTTTTGATCATTTCTATTGTAATTGCGAAATTCAAAATAATCTGATGACTAATATACCTTTGACACTAACCTTTGTGAATAATAAAATCCACTTCTATGATATCTAGTAACAAAATTTACATAGGTAATTTGTTCTAATTTGCATCAAAATTTAATATATATTTATATTTAATGCTTGAGCTAGACTGAAAAAGAATATCATTTTAGTAAAATGTCTATTGATTTATCTTCATCGGTAATAATAACAATATGTTAATTTCCACAAATCGGTGTTGTCCCAATAATTTTAACAAATAATCAAATTAGTAAAGAAAGAATTTATTTTACAGCATACATCATCTCATCTATCATATAATTCAAATATATATATAATAATTTTGACTTTATATAAAAAATAAAAAAAAAAGGTCTTCACTATTGAAATAAAGTCATTTTGTCAGTGATATTTACGATAAAAGAGCAATTATTAATTATGTGTATATATTTAAATAACTGATTATTTCTAGATGGTCGAAAAATTGACAAAACACTTTTTTTTATAATTTTGAGATGTCGCTAACAACAAAACAAAATTAATGAAGTGAATTTTAGTAGAAACACTTTTTTCTAGTAGCTCTCAGGACGAACAAGCGTAGTCTTAGGCGAACATTTACGAAGAAATATTACAATATACATGACTTAATATTTTATGATCATATATCTTTGTGTTATATACAATGATTTATGGAGAAGAAAAAGCTGCTTATTTACTCTCTGCGTACACAGAAGTTCCGTACGATCTCCATTTGGCTTCATATATAACCATGTTGCTTGGTATACAGTGGCAGAGATATACGATCGTAATACTAAGCCATGTAAAATATAGCAACATTTGGTTGTCTAAGGAGAAATAAGATTGTTTATAGACGTATATGGACTCCGTATTTCTTATTAATTAGTTGTCTATATACGATGAAGTTTCTATTAACCTTGTAGTTATGTTTTCTTTTTTTGTCGAAATTGTTGTTTTCTGAGTTCTTAATTTAACTGATGGATTCGATAATTTTGCTTGATTGATATCAACGAAGATTACGATGTAATAAAGAGGATCCCGTGGATAATAGCTTATATGGCTGTATTCCTTCTCAATTTGAAGCGAATGTCGAATAAAATAAAGATGTACTAGAGACATTATTTTCAGCAAAGATAGACGAAAGAAATGAAAAAGAATCATAAATATTTGTTAGTAATATGCTGAAAATAAATCATGACAACAATTCATGGCACAAATACTTATCTTCTTTTTTTGAAACTACCTTGACCACTTTTCTCTTCTTCTTCTTCTTCTATAGCTTTTGATTGAACATTCAGTTCTTAGCCATTATTTGTCTATTTGTTAGAGTCATGTTTTGAGAAAGGTATGTTTAACATTTTTTTCCTGTTTGTAATCTATCTCTTTTGTCAGCGTTCCAGATTGTCACTAATAAAACACGTATAAACAAAAAATAATAATAGAGAAGGTCTACTATGTAAAATAACTCTAATCATGAATGAAGATTGTTAATGGGAAACAAGAGATCTTTCTTTCAGGTGGACTGCAGCAAATTCTCGTTCTGACTATAATAGTCATCTGAAAAATAGTCCAGACAAATAAGATTTCTATGTCGTTAGACATTTTCTTGGGCTCTAGATAAGCCGATACTCGATTCTTAGCCAATTTCGTCTTCTACTGTACTATAAAAGTACCGTCATATGCATCGAATCATTGGAATTAAAATCTTGAAAGCTTGTTTTAGATAAATGAAGATTAAATGTTGAGTGGCTTCTCAAGATAAGAAAAGCGAATATTTTTGACATTCGATTTCGATTTAGAGAGCTTTAACTCTAATCTCATAGGAACCTATTCATAGTCAAATAGAGAGCTCCGAATCCACATTTTTGTGGACTTGGACCCGAGAAAAACTAAGCTTCTAAAAAATCAATGCACAATTATTTCTTTTTATTCAATTTCTCATCACTGCATACTTGATAAACTAGATGGCACTCGAGTATCACTCAACTGCAAAATACGCTGCAAAGTTTGGAATGTTGATTATTGAAAAAAATCGATATCCCATTAAAACAACGAATAATCGTTATGACGATTTATTCTAAAACGTTTCTTTCCGAGAGACATTTTACGTTTTACTGGAATCAGGTTTTTCTTGCCGTTGTAAATCGGAAAAAATATGTATTCATCAACCAGCTGATGAAAAACAAAATGAACATGAAAAGTAGTCATTCTGAAATTCATTATTAGAAGAACCCTATTAACTGGCATCAATATGTTTCAAATGAAAAGTATTGATTGATCGCTTGATTATCACTCTAATTCATTATCTATTATCAGCTGTATTCATAATTGTCTTAGATATGAGTAAAACAAGTATTAACTAACTTTTAATGCTGTCTTCGTTTTAATAATCTCAAAACTTGCCTTTTTGAATGGCTTCCTGTAAGAAAATGGATGCTATCAATTCGATTGCGTGATTTTATTCTCGTGTTCGAACGAATATTTTCTGACTTTCACCTATTGAAATCATCGTGACAGAAAATGAAAAGTTCTAATACCTACGTTAAAAAAGAAAGAAAAGAACTGATATCTATGTCAGAGTTAAATGAATGTGAGCACTCTTTGAATAACTTTAAAACAAAAAGAGGAAAGAAAATCGGGTTTTTATTTTTAGCACTATCTAGAGTTGACGTTGCTCTATCTTTTTTATAAAGTCAATTGTAGTCTTTGAAGATGAACATGATCATTCGTGAAAATTACATGCTTTCTCAACTTTAATATAATAGACAGATAGCTCGCCTTCACCTCTATCGATTCACGCAAGGTCGAGATCGATAACTATTTGTGTTCGAAAAATATAAGGATTTTACTGAAGACTACTAAGCAGTTTGTTTTTCAAAATCTAAGCAACTAACAAATATTTTCTTCCATAAATTTTTAGTCGTCTTTAACTTTGTGATATAATTCATTAAGCTTTGAAATCTCATTAAAAACCAAACATTAAACTCATTTTGAAGGTAGTGAATCAATATCTTTACCTGGTTTGCTTGCGAACATGTGATCTAATATAATGGTTTAAAATCGTATCACTTCAAATGATACTGTCTCACAAATGTTAATATCAACAGATGACACTATGTTGACGCTAACTTAATTGAACTTCCTTCAGTTTATCTTTTCTTGCTATTCTTTCATTTGTTGGGGTCTTCTCTTTCGTTCGTTCTATAGATGCAAGGAAAGTTAGCAACCGATTCGAGTATTTTCTACGACCATTCGCCTGAGGAACTGAGCCACAAAATAAAACTAGTAAGCCACCTACAACTCGACAACTTCTATCTAATGATGTCATCAGATCCCGCGAAACTTACCCCCGAACGCCATGAAAACCAAACACACTCATAGGCAAAAACTACCGTTTTTCGTAAAAATCATGGCGGTTCGCCTGAGTACTTAAGCCACTCATGAGTCATACGTCAATCAACGCAGAATTTCATGCTCTATCTAATGGCATAAAAGTTATTTTGATAAAAGTCTCCCACAATCGACTGGGTTCCTGGAAAGTCTCAAAAATAGGGTTTTCGCAAGTATTCCATCTGATGATTCGCACAGAAGCTTAAGCCACTTCTGAAAATTACACCATTCAATGCAGAATTTCACGCTCTATCGAATAGTATACAATTTGCACACCTCACCGTAAATCATAGAGGATTTTGACACCAGAAACCATTAAAACCAGGAAAACTTGGAATTTTTATCCATCAATTCCTCTGACGATTCATTCAGGTACTTAAGCCATCTACGAAACATGTACCATCCGATGCCGAATTTCAATCTCTATCAAATGGTGTACAACTTGCACGGCTTTCAACCAGTCATAGAGGGTTTTGACCTTAAAACTTTGAAGAATTCCGAAATGCTGGAATTTCTACCCATTAATTCTTGTGTCGATTTGTTCAGGTACTTGAGCCATCCATGATGCTTGCAAGATTCAGTTCAGAATTTCGCGCAGTATCGATTGGTTTATATGTCGTCTGGCTGAATGCAAATGAGAGTCAACTTCGAAGATCAACCGATGAAAAGTCGAGAAGGTTGGTATTTCTTTCTAATAATTCTCGTGGAGATTCGTTGTAATATATAAACTGCTGAGGAATCGCATTTCTTTCGACGCAGAGGTCGACGCTCTTTCCCGTAGTGCACAGCTTGTATCAGAGTTGTAACCGAACCGGTCCGGTAGAACCAACTTTTTCTTTACCGGTCCGTTCTGAGTTTTTTTTGAATTTTTCCCTATTTTTTTCCGAAAAAATGATCAAAAAGGTGGTTTTCTTCGAATATCAAGAACTTCTTACTAATATCGAAGACTATTTTGGTACAAAAAATTGTATCAAACTATCCTATTGAGTCAAAATTTGTCATGGATCTTTTTATATTTATCCAATCCATGTGGGTACGACGTTCTACCCGTATAGTTCAAGGAACGACATTTTATCATTTAAAACAGTTTTTATTGGTCAAAACTACCGTTTATCATACCTAAACGTCGTTTCAGAAAAGAAAACAGCTGGATATTGACCTTCGTAAACAGCACAGAAATTTTATTATGTGTATATAAGCTCGAATGCATACAAAATCGTTTCCGTAGAGTTTATGAAGGTCAATTTCCAGCTTTTTTCTGCTCTGAAACGACGTTTAGGTATGATAAACGGTAGTTTTGGTCAATAAGAACTGTTTTAACGGACAAAATGCCGTTTCCTGAACCATATGAGTGTTGTTCAAATAAAATCAAATGATTAATTGTTTAGCATTGTAGTTTATCATGGATTTATATTTCCTATTATTTATTACATATAGTCCTCATAGACACGAAAGATGACAAAGCGAGTATAGCATACGAGCAATAAATAGAGCCCATATTTGATGAATAGTTAATCAAAGTGCAAAATTAACATAGAATTTATGGTCGTATGAACTTTTGTGCTCACCAATAGACATCGAGAAACAGAAAACATATGAAAGCAAATAGTAAAAAGCATTGCAGAGGCGAAATAGTACTTTTATATCATAGCTGTAGTGATTAGAAGGAATATATGACTCATCTAGGTGTTGATTTTTTGATGTTATAGGGTCAGAAAACAGAAGAATGGACGTCGGAAAAGTTAGCACCATATTCGTCTTTATCTATCCGGATTTGCTATATTACTTGGGTTATTTCTAAAACCACTTGGGTTAGATGCCGAATTTAATTCTGTGCCGAATGGTGTCAGTTTCGAGGAGGGTTATCGGGCAAAAATACCCCACTTCCCTCAAAATACTGGTTTTTCCAGGTAATTCCCAACGTATCCCTGTCCGGATTCGCTATATTACTTGGGATATTTCTAAAACCACTTGGGTTAGATGCCGAATTTAATTCTGCGTCGGATGGTGCCAGTTTCGAGAGGGGTTATCCGGCAAAAATACCCCACTTCCCTCGAAATACTGTTTTTTCTTGGTAACTCCCAAGGTATTCCCTGTCCGGATTCGCCATATTACTTGGGTTATTTCTAAAACCACTTGGGTTAGGCGCAGAATTTAATTCTATGCCGAATGGTGCCAATTTTGAGGGGGGTTATCGGGCAAAAATACCCCACTTCCATCAAAAGACTGGTTGGAAATTACCTGCAAAAACCAGTATTTTGAGGGAAGTAGGCTATTTTTGCCCGATAACCCCCCTCAAAACTGGCACCATTCGACGCAGAATTAAATTCGGCATCTAACCCAAGTGGTTTTAGATATAACCCAAGTGATATAGCGAATCCGGACAGGGAATACCTTCGGAATTACCTGGAAAACCCGGTATTTTCAGGGAAGTGGGGTATTTTTGCCCAATAACCCTCCTCGAAACTGGCACCATTCGACGCAGAATTAAATTCTACATCTAACCCAAGTGGTATTAGAAATAACCCAAGTAATATCGCGAATCCGGATAGATAAAGACGAATATGGTGCGAACTTTTCTGACGTGATCTATTGATCGAATGAGTGTATAATAGCATTCAGCTTTTACGAATTCATTCGTTGAAAGCCATTCAAAACAAAATAAAACAAATTAATAAATTAAATAGCATTTGAGAACGTCTTAACAATGCAATTCATTTACATTGATAAAGTATGAATTGATTATGAAGTACCTATTGTACTGCACTTATTCTGGAAAAAAAGAATCACTAATCGATATGATATAAGTCACTTTCAGAATTATCTGAATAACCTATCTTATGCAGTTTCAATGATGAAAAATAAATTTTAATTGGATTCCTAGTTCGAAGAAAATTTAAGGCTAACATATACAAAAGTGATGCAGAAAAATAATGCAAATTATGGTTTTGGAGATGGTAGTCGAATATCTTTTGTGGCTTGGATGGACACCGTGTGCTAATTTGATTCCAAACATTTTATACTCGTTGGATAGCTCTTTCTTTGCTCTATCCAAAACCGTAAAAGAATTTCTGGTGTGCTTGGAATTGGCAGAGAAACATAGCTTGAAAAGAGAAGATAACTAAGACAAAAGTGCGAAAAAAATAGTAGGGTTGATGTAATTTTGCAGCTGTGACCTCTACAAAATGAAGGGTGAAGAGAAGATGACATATGCAGTTTTGTAGAGCGAATTTTGCTCTATCGAATGGTATACTACTCGAAAAGACTGTGAGAATTCATGGTGGAAAAAATGACCGAATACTGACTTACTAAATTTTTCAAAAAAAAAACAATTTTTTTTTAAGAACCTGTTGAGGGTGCTTTCAGCTTGTACTTGATAACTTTTTACAGGTAAGTTAGAATGAGCTAAAATTTTGGATTTATAGGTTTCTCACTTTGCTCTTTCATTTCCAATCATAAAATATAGGGGTCAAATTTTTCGAGAGTATGACCCTTTAGAAAAATGTTCGATTTTCTCATGGACCCTCTCTTAAATCATATTTATTTATTAAATAAATAATCATCATCAACAGAAATTGAATTTTCAATATATTTATCAAATTTATAAAATTTCTCATCTGTCGTATCTTTATATTATATATCGAACAAATAGAGAGGATATTATTTATCAAATAACTCGGACCAAATTACTTCGAATAAGATATTAATAGGATGTTAATATATATTATTTTATTCTATTCTATGGTTTAATTTTTCTCTATTAGGATAACAAGTCAATTTCGATAGAATAGAATAGTTAAACCGCGGATATCCTTACCTGATATATATTAGAATATGATTATATTGAGAATATATTCTAAACGAATAGATATAGATAATACTATTTTAAACTGCCAAAGATAATTTATCTCGATACCAATAAACAATTATTAAAAGAATATTGAATAAATAGGTGATTAGATCTCTAAATATGATCGATATATAGAAAAAACAAGAATAAAAGTTAATTGAAATCGATATAAAACGAAAAATGTTAACGAATGATAAAATAATACTCGAAATAAATAAGTTTTATTATTGATTAAATAATAAACGTGAGATTGTTGGATAACGATTTCGGTCAGGTCGATTATATAGAAAAAATCATCTCGAATTTAAATCGATAGATATATAAAGGTTATTAAACAGGTTTATGTTAAACGATAGATGAGAATTTGAATAGAGTTTGTTAAATGAATTGAAGAGAGTCTAGTATTTTATTTCGAATGATAATTCGATGAATAAATTCTCTTTTAATAAGAAAATAAAGTATTTTTAGAAACGTTTTTTTCTATTTATCAACAAAAAATATTTCTCTATTTCAAATTTTAATTTAAAAATTTTATGTCATTTCAATTTTAATCGATATTATTTCATACATAAGAGAATTTCGATACAATTATATATTTTATACCGACAAATAATTGTTTGTCTATTTTTTTTTTTTGAAAAAAAAATCTGAGTTGAATTGATATGTTAAAAAAATGGTAAATAGTTAATATATAATTAAATCGAACTATTTTATATTAGTTTTCATTTGTAAATCTTGTTCCTGTTTTTATAAAATAATTAAATAAAAATGATTTATTTAAAGATGAAAGATAATATTAATTAAATGTTTAATCGAATTGATATTTAAATTAAAATTGAATTATCAAAAAATGTCAACTGAAATAATTGGTATCGGTGTCTCTCAATAAAATAGTCGTGTTGATAAACAATAATATTTTCAAATAGGAGAACAATTAATAAATCAAGCTAAAAAAGAACAAGCTAAAGTTTATTTTTTTAATTTAAATTAAAATTCTAATAAATGTTGAATAGATTCGATTTTTTCCTGAAAGATTTTATTATATATCTGAATCAATATGAGAAAGACTTGAAAAAGCTGAACTAATTGATGGTCCAATTATAAATCGATATAAACAATTAGCAAAACAACATCAATTATGGATTTCATTGGGTGGTTGTCATCAACGAGTCCGTTTTCGATTTGTTTTTTATTAATTAATTTATTGAAAAAAATCTTATTTAATTCAGGTGATGGAACTCGTCTATTAAATAGTCATTTAATAATAAATTATCAACGTGATATTATTGGTCGATATTCTAAAATACATTTATTTTATGTTCAACCTGCTTATCTAGTTGTTCGAGAGTCAGATTTTACACAACCTGGTTCATCTATTACTAATCCAATTGAAACACCAGCTGAAAGAATTGCTCTTGAAATTGTATTTTATTTAGTTAATATTCTATTCTATTATTTTATTTTAGTGTTATGATCTTCGTTTTGCTGGATTTGGTCGATTATAAAGAGGATCTGTGCATTTAGTAAACATAGAGGAGAAGCTGATTGGGAGGTAATTTATTCAGATAAATAATAAATTATCTTAGAAAAAGAATTTTTTTTTTAATTTTGATTATTTCATTTGTTTTATTTAACATAAAATTCATTTTGAAAAAGGTTTTTTAGAAAATCGACACATAAGAAAGGAAATAATTTGCAGTTTTGATAGAAGATAATCTATGATGATTGACAATATCATTTTACTAAATTTATTTAGAAAATTTTTTTTTTCCATAATCGATAACAACAATTCAAATTCTCCTTTCAATAGAAAATTTTTTTTTTCGATAAGCTTTTTCAATATAAATATAAATTATCAACAAAATCAAACTTCATCCAGCTATTGATTAGGTTTTTTCCTTATCAGAGATTTATCGTTATCAGAGACCCAATAAATTATCTTTTCACACCAAATAAGATAAAACAAAACAGTTTTATATCTTACCTAAGATTGACGTGTGAGAAACAAAGACTCGTAGAGATCCTGTAAAATAGTTCATTTTCTAGATAATTCTTTCCTCGATGATATTGCCCTATTCAAACAGAATTATATTTCAGATTTCTTAGATAAAAAAAAGTTGCCTTTTTCACTTTTCGAGAGGATCTATTCTTGATAAAATAGCAATTGGTTTTATTTTCGAATATTTTTTATGAAAATAATAGATCTTCCATAATAAATGGTCGGATTTTGCTCTTAACGTTTATAGAATCTGATAGAGTTTATTTTAAATCAATATACTATATCATAAAACACAACATAGTTAATACTCTTATCGGAAAATACTCATTTCGTAGTAATCACTTTCGCCACTTAACGAAAGTTTGCTCTTGATGAGGTCAATAAATCTGATAAAAAGTCAACTATTGCCAATAGAGAAAAGCCTGTACTTAACTGATAAATCTAGTTATTAATCATGTTTACAAAATTGGACTTTGGCAAATTTTTTTAAAAATTGATCAACGTTTCGATAATGAGTAATTGACCCATTGGTAGGAAATGCATACCAACTGGAAAACTAAATAATTCAACGTGCCAAATCCAACGATTCTAAGTTATCATTCGGTTAAATATTAGGTTGAGTATAACACCTCTATGAGAAGACATATGAAAAGTGAATACCATCAAAGACAGGTTGCAACCTTTTCAGTGTTAATGAGAGTATTAATGTGGAGATATTTTTGATTCGAGTGCAGAGACTAGGATCCGACATCCTGCATGAGAAAGACCCTAGATGAGATTCGCTTCCGATCACATAACTCTCGAGCAGAACCAATAAAAATCGAAAAATTCTTATTCTTGGAGTATTGACAACGCCCAATTTCGTGTTGGCAAAAGTTTGAGTAATTAATAAATTAGTTGCCGAAAGTCTACTGATAGCCTATTTAATTAAAAGATAATGTTAAAAGTTAATTAGAAAAGTTTCGGCAATTGTCACAAGTCAATTGAGAATGCCAGTAGTGAGAAATTGATGCTATCTCGCTAATATGCACAAAAAATCTTATTTTATCTATATATATGGGTGAAGAGCGCGCACATTCTACCGTTTCCAAAAAAAATCGAAAAAATCGAAAAAAATAAATTTCATGATAGGAACAAACCTAGTGTAGTATTTAATAGAGTAATGTCGATTGTATATGAAAATGATATTTTCCGTAGACTTTCCTATGGATCGGTGTAGATTGACGATATAACATCCAATTTGTGTATACTGTATCGATATATCCAGCAATTTTAGTGTATAATTACTCCCACTAAAGTCACGTTAATATTTTGTTAGGAAAAATATTTTATTTGTCAATTTTTTTTTTGACTAAAATTTCTCTTAGATACTCAATTAAGGTTATTTAAATAAAGTCTGTTTAAGGAAAGTTTCGATGATTTAAATCTCGATCTAGATTTCCTTAGTAAAACTGAATTCTCTTTCGAAGAGAGAAAGATTTTTGCGTGATTTTTTTAGCATATTACTCTGCTCTATGAGACGAAAAAAGGATCAAATTTTGGTCGCAAACGATTTAGTTTTGATTGAGTTATACCCATAATAAAATTTAAAATCTCGATCTACATTTAGTGTGAATATGGTATTTTTTAATATTCGGTTGAAATATTTGTATTAATAAGATTTATAAAACAAATGTTATTTACTTGTTACATTATTTTCCCCCCGTCTCTCTTTCATATGCGATAAAATTTGTTCGAAAAAAATTTCTCCAAATTGAAAGCTAATCATCTTAATCTCGATCTACACAAAAATGAAAAGTGTCTTAACGCCTCTTATTGATAGTTTTTCATTGATAAAACTCTGTCTAGAGCTGAAACCAATAGGATATTCTGAAAGCTCTTTATGAGTCCTCGAATTCTAGCTACAAATAAAAAATTTTTAAAAATCGTTATGTAATTTAAAAAATTGATTTTCATTCGGCAGATGGGATTAGAAAGCTAATATTTAACATCGTTAGTATTATTTCTCAGAAACTAAAACAGGTGGAACGTTGATTTTTTCAGAAGTGAATGGCCATCTTTAGGCCAACAAATCAAAAAAAAATTATGAAAATCGGTTGAGAAGAACACGACTTATAAGGATTTTTCTGTCCCAAACCAAACGGTAGAATGGGAGCGGTCTTCACCGATATATATATATTCTTTTTAAAATCGATAAAATTCTATTTGATCGATTTTTGACGGTAGGTATGAGACGATTCTTTGGTATATAAGTAATACCTTATCTTATTTCATTAATTAATAGGTGTTAGTTTTTGAGTTTATCTGAATAGATATTCTAGTCAATAGGATCTTAGACATAATAATTGAAAATGTTGATATGCAGATTATTCTATACTAATTTACTTTGATCAATCAATTGAGTAAAGTTGTTCTTTATCTATACTAGTCAACAGAAATCTATATGCAGTTTTGTGTTGTCTTGTTGATAGATAAAATGATTATCTAATAGTAATTCATCTTTAGTTTGTTGATATGAAAAAACAAATTGAATATAGTTAGTATCTATAAATGTTTCACTGGGTTGAAATCTGAATGGATTTCTAAGATAATATATTGATACTCCGATGTATATGAGATTATTTTTCGAAATTAGCCTCTTTATTTTATTTGTTCGCGTTCATCTCTTGTTGGTTTATGTTTATCATGAAGGTTTGGATCAATAATAAGATGATCAATATCGAAATGAAGATCGTCGTCAACTACACAACTGATTGTCCTCTTGGAAATAAGGCGTTACTTAGCTTATTTTTTTGCATTTACCAGATTATTCTAAATGAACTTATTTTTAACTTTTTGAATAAGAGTTATTATTAATATTATTTTCGATCTATCAGTAGTCTTTTCTAATAACTTGTAGTTGTTCTTCTCTATAAATATTCCCACCGTCTAACTCTAGGTTTGTTGACAACCTTTGCTAATTGTTTAACAATTTCCATCGATGATATATCCCATTATTAGTGATTGGTAGTATCACTTTTCAAAGGTCTTTTAGTTTTATTTTAAAATTAAATCTAAAAATGAGTTATAGAGTTGAGATTTATCCGTCATGGAACTGTTGAGTAGTTGAAATATATAATGTAATAAAAAGGTGAAAAAAAAGATAAAATCGATATAGATTGATTGGTGGAAAGATCGGTCATTTATTATGTAATAGAGATTTCAATTTTCTAGTGAATCATCTTGATGACGAGAATATCGTCCTGATTAGCAGAATGGAATGTAGAGAACTATAATTAAATAAATAAGCCTTTTTAATAGGGATCAATGAAGTCGATTTAAGCAGGAACTAAAACTTGTCAAAGAATTGTAACAGTTTTATAGAGTATTTATTCTTCTAGAATATTTTATAAAATATTAAAATTTTCATAAAAAGGATCTTTTTTCGTTTTTTTTCATCTGAAATATGTTAAATATGATTATAAGTGATCGAATATTTGTAAATAAATGTGCTTGTTTTTATCGTTGATAGTTATTGTGAAAGATTTAATTATAAATCGAATAAAATCTTTAATAAATAAATATCGAGTTAGATTTAACGAGTCAAAAGTGTTCTCAATTATGGTCTAATCTATATATTAGTCTCAATATAAAGTTAAAGTTAATTTATTTAATTAATTGAAAAAGAAAAAAAGTTTGATTGATTCGATATCCATTTGTATTTAATATCTTTTATAATCTATAATAGAAAATAAAAATATATTCTTTTATTCTTCAATAGATTTCTTTTAAAATAAAATATATTGATAAAACGAAGTTAAAAAATGTTGAATATAGATTTTAGTTCGTGCTCGAGCAATTCAAAATCAATGTTTTCTTGTGGCTGCTGCTCAAGTTGCTTCTCAGAATAGAAAACGTCAATCTTATGGATATTGTTTAGTTTGTTTATTTATTTATTATTTAATGAATAGTTATTTATTATTTACTAAATAGGTTGTTGATCGATGGGGAAGAGTTCTTTTATATATGAATTTATATTCTCCATTAGTTCGGACAATTGATATTGATCTTCGTTATATTGAACAAGTTAGAGAAAAAATCCCTTTTATTCATCATCGTCGACATGATTTATATACATTAATGTCACCAACAACTATTATTGGTTAGCAAGATTTTTTTTAGGAAAAAAAAAACATTTCTAAAAATGTTTAGTACCAATTGATGATAAAAATGAAGAAAAAATTGGTTGGGATCAATAAAAAACCGGTTGTACCTGGACGTTAGTTTTATATTTTAATTGTTTATTTATTAATATTGTTTAAAATTCCATATAGATGTGGTTGTATCACCATTTCGTTATGTTGAACGATTTTCTCAATTAAATCCTGAAGAAATAAATGATTTATTTCAATCTACACAATTAATTCGAAGAAAAATCGAAGAATATTATCAAGCTAAATCATTAACTATTAGCTATACAAGATCGACAACATACTGGACAAATTGTTAAAGTATTTGTTTTTTTTATTTAAACAAAATCGTTTCGTTTCTTTTTTGTAACATGTTCATGTTCATATTCTTCCACGACGAGCAGGTAATTTTGAATAAAATGAGACTATTTATCATGAGATTTATTTGAAAAATATGAAAAAAATAATTGAAATAAATTTATTTTTATTTATTCTAGTTAGCTGATCATGATAAAAGAGATAAAGAATCGATAGAAGAACAAGATATGGCTGATGAAGCAAAAAAATCTTCGAAAATTGTTTTATCAAGCTACATAGTCAATCATCATTTTCTTTATTACATAAGAGAACATATTAATTATCTTACTCAAAAATACACATATTTTATTTGAAATTTATTTTAATAAAAGACTAGTTTTATCTCGAAGATATATTTATAAATATTAAAATAAAATTCTAATAGATAGATTAGAATCAATAATCCTCTTATAGTGGTCTAATCAACTAATTTTAACCTTTTACTTGTCATACCACCTATTCAAGAAGACTGATTCATTTTCTAGCTCAATTATTATAATCAGTAGAAATCAATCAACAAATAAATATCAATTCGGGTAGATTTTTTAAAAACTGATTTCCATCACAAAAATCGATGTTTACTGAATAAAAGTTCGTTACTTTGAACAAAGAGGCGAGCTTCTTTGCTTTTTTTTCTACTCTTTGACAAATATACTCTTCACCTTTAAAATATTTCAATATATTATGTTAATATCAATAAATAATCACAATTCGAACCATGAATGAGTTTAATTCTAATACCAACCATTTTAACAAAAAGAAAAAAACCTATTGAATTGTCATCAATGTCACCATCGGTTTAATAGAAAGACATCGTCAATTGATCTTCTTCGATTATTTAATTCTATTAGAAGAAGACACCATCTATTAGAATAATAGAAGTTACCCCTTTCTATATCAATCTCTATTAAGATTTTTCCTCATTGGACAATGGGTAGAATTTTTAATAAATCCATAGGGAAATTGACTAATAGTCATTGACCTGGCTAAGCCACTGGTCTCTCACTATTTTCTCAATATCTATTTCAATAATAATAGTTACGGACAAAGTTTTCTCTTAAAATATAAACCATTGAATTTTCTATAAAACTGGCATAAAAATGTCTACCATAGAAGTAAAAGTAAAATATCTATTCTATAAATTTAAAGAATCTCTTATTTGAATAAGTTTCAAAGATAAAATTCCATATTATTCTATAAATAGATTCTCACATTGCGATATCTAAAAGTGAAACAAGCCTTTTTTCAGAGATTGAAAAGTTCGAACGTCTAAATAGATTTACTTATCTTTTATAACGAATCTCTATCACACAAAATAATCTTTATTTTTTAGATTTCCACAAAAAAAAACGTTTTTCCTTCGTAGTGTTTCATATTGTTGAAAAATTGATGTAAATCATCTATAAATTATTTATTGAGAGGATAATTTGTTTTTATTTAAAAGCTAGCAAGTCATCCAATATGAGTTAACTTTATTCGGAATAAATGCTTTTTTCTCTCGATTAGGTTCAATAAAAAAAAACTCTAATATATCACATATTAACCTTTTGTTAAAAGATAAGATTTTCTCTGAATATATTAGCTAGATAGGTTCTTTCCTATGTTCTATTAAATAGAGGATAGATTTTATTCGATCTGAGATGATAGTTTCAATTCTTTTAACAGTTATTCATTTTTCGAGAGAAACCGAAAATTAATTTCGATATATCTACTTGAAATTTTTTAATCACATATGTTTAGAATGTTTCTCTAATAATTCTTTTGGTTATACTTCTACGGTAGAGATTTATCTATGATTTTTCTAGAAAAATTTCTTTCTCATAGATTGATTATGTTTTATACAATTTTTGATTTATTTTAAATAATTATTATTAAAACTATTCGAATGTCTTCTTGTTTTTTTTTATTTATTTATTAGATTTTCATATTAGTTCAAATAGAAATTTTCTTTCACTAGATTTTTAAATTGAATCGTATCTCGAAACTGTTCTTCATATATAACTTTTCTTATTTTATTCAAAATGTTAACTTATTTATATCGTCAACATGTCATTTTTTTCTTATTGAGAATTGCTCAACCAACTTATAGGAAGTTAATTTATTCAGAATTTTCAAGGGGCATGATAATAGAAATTAGGTTAAACTTTTTTTTTCCAGTTCAGCTACGTTTTTATTTGTGGCGATTTAGAGATTTTTCTCGATATTAGCTCATTTTAAAATAAAAACGAGTTATTTAAAAAACAAAAAAAAAAACTTGATTTTTATTTAATAAAGTTGATAAAAAGTGAATGAATTCAGTTGATATTGACATAAACAATTAAGTTTAATCTTGTTAAATAAAAAGAGTTGATTTTATTTAATATGAAATTTTCTTTCTGATGAAAACAAAAAAATGGGGAATAGATTATATTCGATTTTTGAATTTTTTTTTTTCTAATTTCGATAGTTTATATATTAAGATGGTAATTATATTGATTAAATAATAAAATAGAAATATTTTGTCTACTATCT